CTGACGATTTTACTTTGTCTTGATCTAATGGCCTGTCCACTCATTATCTTCGCTACCACCGGAGATTTAGATCTTCAGGCATCTAACTTGTAGGTTGCCGTTGTCGAAAACTTAAGGGTTAAGGTGTAAAATGTGATATGAGGACGATCAATGCTAATCGAAAAACATTATCACTTACAGACAATGTTTCCCTTCTTTCCCTTCGCTCTGGTGCTTTTCGTCAAACACTTGTGAAACGGGAGTCCCGAGTAGAATGTAACGTGCACCTTGTTTCATCATACATCCAATCGCGTGCATGCGATTATACAGGCAGAGATGTCGTAAACACACGTTGTACCAGCTGCAACACAAATGTAGCATTACGGCCTACATAGTCTACCAGAAGCCCCACTAATAGTAGCAAGTTGAGGGGGTTAAATGTGTACGTAACGGGGAACCTAAAATCTTGCTAATCCACTGTCGAACGTACGAAATTAAAGCCATAGGTAGCCAGCACGGTGGAGGATGTGCTCTACGAAAAATGTATGTGCATTTGGATTGAATAGTTAGTGTACTTAATGTCACCACAAGTCTGCAGCTTTGACGCAGAGATTGATAAGAAAAAGATGGATGGCATGATGATAAGCTAGATACGATCAGATAGCTTGAAATGACCCACACGTGTGCTACGGATGTCCAGAATGAGAAGCACAATTCGTCAGCGAGTTAGAGTCTACTATTTTATCCATTCAAAGAAATCAATGTGTGTCAATTAAGCCCTTAAGTTGGTGCGGTGGATGCATCCTTAGTTGTTGAGATTGATGTTTTAGGGCGGCCTTTATTCTTCTTGTCTGATGAACTACAGTATGGGATGTGAGTGACCTACCTATGTCGATGACCTAAAAGCGACTTTAATTTCATATTTATAATGGTGACTGTGGTCAATATGACAAACACTCGGATTCTAAGCTTTAGTAGCACTGTTTTTACCCTACCATTTCTCAACATCAAGCTCGCAGTATTAGAACAAAGATCGCGCGATGAGGTGAAATCCAGATTCATTTTCTTATTAAGGTGGCGATCATCCGTATAGTTCTCGAATCGCTATAATTATGACTCGTTGGCCTCGCCCACCCCCGTAATAAACTGTTTCAGGTGCTGGATCTTGACACACGGTACGCCACGCTCATCTTTTTCACATAATATAATTTGCAAATTATGCAAACATGCTTTCACGAACCGAAAGACAAAATCCTTTGCACCTCACCGAACGCAAATTTTTAGCCCAGATTGCTTCAAAATGAATACGTTTTATCTTACGATAAAAATAAGACAAAGCTTAAAATTTTCCACAAAAAAATATATAAAAGGTGTACTTTGAGCTGGTGACAATTATGGTGAAAAGAACTTTAAAAAAGGCTTTGTCTCATGTTTTTGCCACTACGGTTGTGTTCAGTTCATCGACCGCTTTGTAATACGTTGCATTGAATGCTTAACGTATTTAGTGCATTTCGAGCTTCAGCAGGACGAAATTTGGCTGCCTACGACCTTGGAAGAAGAGAAAAGTTTTTCATATAAAGATACAAGTATCAGGGCCGGTGGTGACGCTTGTGAACATACCAAGGTTCAAGATAACTAGTTCGAGTCGAGTGATGCACAAAAATGATTAATGCACAAAGCACTGTCAATTATCGCTTCGAAAGGGATGCAGGACGACGATATCATCACCCAAATCTTGACTGATGCTCTTACTTCTATCGTGGATGACGCAGTCTTCATCATTTAAAATTTGTGGCTTTTCTGTGTCATGAAGTGATTGATTGCAGGTCGCTTTCCTACAGCAAAAACTGCGATCAAAAGCAACGTATGTTAATGGTAACACAATAATCGTCACAGACGCAGCAGCTCAAGAACTGTCGAGTAAGTTCTGCTTGTCCAGAATATTAGTGTTGACTTTGTAAATTTACCATACAAAACGCTTGATAGAGTTAAGCGGTTGTATATCAGAGACTGGTTCCTAAGTTGCAGCAGGAGACCACCTGCTTCAGACAAGTGGCAGTGGCTGGACTGCTAGCAGCAACAACGTTAAACTTTACAACAGCTACAACAGCAAAATTAACAACAGCAGCAACAGCAGAAAATTATCAGTCACGACGACAACAAATGAGAAACATGGCAGCAAAATGTTGAGTCAATTGCAGAGCTACACAAAAGCTTGCGTATGCGTACTTGATGCTAATGGACCTCTTTCGTTCAGCCTACGTTCAGAGAGTATGCACAGCGCCAGAAAGCGTGTTTTTGTCCAAATTCTTTTAATTTTGAAAACTAACAGTAAACTACAATGTACTGAGCTGTGATTGGTCATAACAATGTTTAAAGTTAGCAAAAGACTTTTTACTGTGACCGTACATTTGATGTTAGCGGCTGTATCATTAGTGTGTGTGGATTAAGCGGCACACAATTGGTAAACCGAGTATTTAATTGTTAGTCTGGTCATTGAATGTCACGTTTTGTCACTAAGATCTCTTGTAGTCACTCAAATCACCTCGGCAGTCCTTACTAATTTGACTGTCATTAAAACAATGCCAACTGTCAGTAGCATACCTGGTTACAGGTAAGTTTCGTCAACATATTGTCAACATTCAACAATAACGAGCGTAATTTTCCCATTGTGCTTTCTTGTGCCTGTAATCGCTGCATAGCAAAGTAACGTTCGACCTAACAATCAAACGGTTGTTCTAGACTAAAGGGCAAGCTCTGTATGTAACGGGGTTGCACGAAATTATGGTTCTTTGTACCAGAGGTGTTACACACCTGAGGTTATCCCTTTGTGAAGGTGATATCGAATATCTTATTGGTTTGTAGGGGCTGACGAGTGTCAGCCATTAGGTACGAAAGATCTTTGAGTAGGATTAAGATAATTTATAGGCTTTAACAAAGTAAAATCAGTTCCCATTTTGATCTAAGGGACACGTGGCTTGCGAGCCGTCTTGATCGTTGATCACTGATCACAAAGAGTTAGCAAAACCTCCTTGAGGTATCTACTCTTGGGCACTAAGTGCTGTCGATTCACTGAATCGTTAGGTCCCCTGGAACAGGGATCTGAACCTGTAAAGCTTGTTGACTCGTAAAGCCGTTAGTTCTTTAAACCAAGTTGCTCTTAGAGCGTTAAGCTTTCCTCTGACTTAAGGAGCTGTGTAGCTCCGCTACACTTGGTAGCACTCGTAGTCAATCTACGCCTGAGTCTTTAAGAATGATCCCCTGTGAGGATGGAAAACCCCATTCCCCTATCTGAGGCCCAAAAGGTCGCGCTTGATAATTTGACCGTATCTTTAAGGTCCAGAGTACGTGGAGTTCCTTGTTTCACAAGGTCCAGAAGTGCTTAATGCACGTGTTGAAAGCTTCATGCAGTATGAAGCGACCCTTTTTAGGGCAGGTCCAAGACCAAGTAGCGTCGGCTATGCCTACAAGCTCGCTATGTGTCTGTACCAGACGAAGAGGCTAGGCCTCGTCCACTTAGAGTGGAAGTGAAAAACTATTCCAGTAAGTAGGGTGAGAGTCTCATTCTATGATTCCGTGAGATTGAGATGGCCATGAGATCAGGCCTGATCACGCTTGACCATCAACAGGTCTCGCTGGCTATCTCGAAGCTTGATGAAAGAGCTAGAGAATGGGCCTTGACGTGTAGCACGTCGGTGGACATAGCGCTTCCCACATGGGAGTCGCTCAAGTCACAATTGGTACAGGTGTTCTCACCACCTATCCAGGCTTACCGCGTGCGTTCACGCTTTCTTTCTACCAGCCAGGGTAAGAATGAATTATCGGACTATGTCCAAGATCTGCGAGCGCTCATGGCTGCAATGCAGTCTGACCCTCTGCCTGAAGCAGTCCATGTGACTATCTTCATGGAAGGTCTACGTACTGGCATTGCCAGAACCGAGGTTTTTCGGGTTCAACCCTCTACTTTCGAAGAGGCTGTGAGAATAGCTCTAAATGCTGAGCATAACTTCAAGTCGGCAAGAGTTGGTTGGAATGGATACAATCCTCGCTCTGCGAAAGCAAACTTTTCGGGTACCACTGCCTATAATAGGCCGGAACTGATGGATCTCAGCTATGCTATAGATGAAGGTGAAGCTGAGATTCAAGCTGCTGAGCAGCAACACGTCGTACGACGGTGTTTTACGTGCGGAAGCACTAAACACTTGCGGCCTGGTTGCCCTTTGCGTAATCAACGCCAGGCTACAAGCCAGCACTCGACTCCGAGTCAGAAGTCTGGTATGGCCCGGGGAAATGCCGACACCCAGTAGGCGCGGGGCGCCCTACTGGGAAAAACTAGGTTCTGTTTCAGCTTTAGAAGGTAAAGGAAGGCCGGGCTTAGCACCTAAGAGTACGATAACTAAGGGTATGGTGCGTGGATACAAGTCTGGCTTGTTGGTACACGAGGCGAAAATTAAAAGTATTGAGAAGCATTGGTCAATTTTGATCGATTCTGGAGCGTCTTGCAATTATGCTCGACACCGTTCCCTTGAGAGAAGTCAGCGTTATGCTATGACCCTTACAGCGCATGAGGGTGATTCTATCACGGTTCGTTATGCGACTGGAAGTCACGTAACTGTGCCTAAAGTTCCATTGAACTTAGGCATAAAGTTTTTAGACTTTGACAGTATCGAGCGCTGTCTTGTCCTAGATTTGGACTCGAGATATGATCTCATCCTAGGTATGGCTTGGCTTGAGGGCCATGAGCCATGGATTGATTGGAGGTCCAAGACCTTAGGCGCTACGCGCAATGTTCCTGGCGAAGCTTTGGAGAGTCATGAACCCACCTTCGCTAGGCAACAAAAACGCTACTGGCGCGAGCCTTGACAGAAGATGTCAATGTGCTGGATATTGGAATGTCTGAGGTATCTAACTCCAATATTACAAACATGAGTTTCGAGCCTAGCTCGTCTAAAATTAGTGAAACGGCACGTACTCCGTTGAGTGTTACTCGTTGTGATAACGAGTCACTGCATGCTGAAAGCATGGTTGGTCTAGGGCCGAGTGATCAAGGATGTGATTCCTTTGATGTGTGTATGGTGGTACGTGAAATTACACCGAGTGCGGTCGGCCGTGAGAGCACCGCACTGAATGTTGGTAATGACATTGTTGGACATATGCCATTTAGTGTGGGCGGCCGTGACGGCACCACGCTTAACGTCGGTAATGGCGTTGTTGGCGATTCGACATATAGTGTGGGCGGCTGTGAGGTAATTACAGCTAATGTCAGTAATGACATTGTTGGCGATACGCCGTATAATGTGGACGGCCGTGAGGGCACCACGCTTAACGCCGGTAATGGCGTTGTTGGCGATACGCCGTATAGTGTGGGCGGCCGTGAGGGCACCACACCTAATGTCTGCAACGGTCTCGTTGGCGATACGCCGTACAGTGTGGACGGCCGGGAGGGCACCACACCTAATGTTGGTAATGACCTTACTGGCGAGACGCCGTTAAATTTGGGGCTAGGCCCGCATAAAACACGTGGAGTGGCACGTTTCAATCCACTGGGTGAAGTGTTCGAGTTATGTAACACTACACCGGATGTTGTTCAAGACAAAAGCTCTCGTTTAGAGCTTACTATGGTTAGTAGTAACCGTGGGGACAACATTGTCCCGACCCCTAAGGGGTTTAAGTTCTCGAAGAGACGATCGAGACACCGGATAGCAACTTTTAAGCGCTAGGCGTCCTCACAGTCACATAGTCATAATAGTAATACACTCTATACATTAGTTGATGGAGTGACTGGTAAGGTTGATGGCAGTGTTTGCCTTGAAACCCTTCCATCTTTGGACGATCTTTTTGAGCTAGACGAAATGTCTGATGGCGAGTTTAGCCAGGCCTTGAAGGCAAGAGAGTTATCCGAATTAGCGGCCATGAGACCTGATACTGAGCTGAATTCTTCCTCGTTAATGGATGAGTCTGTCCTGTAGGATTTAAAGGCGGCAATTAGTGCACGAAGTGGATCTTTGATCCTTAAAGATCCTTTGAATCTGTTCTATCTTTTAGTTAAGGAATTTAAGATGTGGAATGTCACAACCCATCTTCTGCCTTACCTCTCGATAGAGGTGTACGTCATAAAATTGACTTAGTTCCTGGAACTTAAAACTGCGTAACACGGTAGTGGTTTTTGCTTAGAGAACAGTGTGAAGTCATTGACGATTTCTTTCGTGCTAAGCACGCGGCTGGAATGGTTCGTGAGAGCAAGTCTCCTCATTCAACACCGACATTTTGTGTCAAAAAGCCAAATGGCAAGTGGCGTATTGTGCATACTTACAATAAGCTTAATGCAGCCACTATACCGGCGCAGACGCCTATTCCTAGAAAGAATGTTCTTCAGAACAATATGGCGGGATGTACACTATACAGTGCACTCGACTTAGTCGATAGTTATTACCAACTGCTCATGCGAGCAAGCGATATTCCGCTAACAGCGGTGAGTACTCCGAGCGGTATGCTTTGGGAGTGGCTCGTTATGCCACAAGGGCTATCCAAAGCCCCGGCTACGTTTAACCGTCTGGTAACGCAACTATTCAGACCTCATCGAGGCTATGCACAAACGTACTTTGATGACATTTTTGTCCATAGTCGTGCAATAAATGGGCGATCAGGTGTGGACAACCAAATTGATCATTTACGAGCGGTGCTCGAGTGCATGCGAACAAAGAAGTTGTATGTTAACGCATCGAAGTGCATCTTTGGTGTAGAAGAGATTCCCTTTCTAAGGTGCTTCATTTGGAAGCGAGGCCTTCGAGCATATCCCGATAAGGTAAAAGCCATAATCGACTGGCCGGTTCCCAAGAACCAAAAGGACTTGCATAAGTGGCTTGGCCTTGCCAGTTACTTACATAAGTACAGTGCGAATTACGCAGATATGGCTCGGCCATTGTCCAATCTCCTTGAAAAGGATGTAGATTGGTGTTGGGGTAACACCGAACATGATGCTTTTGAAGCAGTTAAGGAGAGTCTCCTTCATGCGCCAATATTGGCTTTGACCGATCCTTATCGGCCTATCAGTGTCGTCAGTGACGCATCTGACTTCGCCATAGGCAGTGCTCTGTTACAAACATATGTCGATGGACTCGAACGCGTCATCGCATTCGAGTCTTGGCAGCTGAAAGCTGCTGAAGAGAACTATCCAGTTCATGACAAAGAGCTACTTGCTATGAAGTACGCTCTTGTTAAATTCAGAGTACATCTGCTTGGCTCCAAGCCGTTTGTGATCTATACAGATCATGCTTCATTACGCACTGCGACACAGTCGCCTCATCTCTCACAAAGAATGGCTCGTTGGCTTTCCTTTTGTGCCGAATAAAACTTCGAGGTGAAGTACAATCCAGGTAAGCAAAACGCTTTGGCTGATGCGCTATCGCGTCGACCTGACTATGAGCTTGATCTTGTTACGATCCTATCGTCGTCATTCCCTGACTTAATTCGTGCGGCAGATGCCAAGGACGATCAGTGTGTAGCTTTGCTACGTGCTCTTGGGAGCGATGAGTTTAAAGACTCGGACATAGAATTGTCGGCACGTATACGTGCGAGGCTACATCGATATTCCATTGATAATGGCCTGTTGTGCTATCGCACGGATATTGAGGATTACCCTCGTATCGCTGTACCTCATGATGAGGAATTAAAGTTTCGAATCCTTTATGAGGCACATGATACTACTTTAAGTGGCCATCTCGGTCGTGAGAAGACTAATAGCTTGGTGAGCCAAAGTTATTGGTGGCCCAAACTTTACAAGTGGGTGAGCACATACGTGCGTACGTGCGAAACGTGTCAACGGGTTAAACCCTCAGCACATGCGGCGGCGCCGCTGGTTAGTTTGCCAGTACCCACTGGTTGTTGGGAGTCCATGAGCATGGATTTTGTGTTTGGCCTGCCGAAAGATTTGGAAGGCAACACTGGTATTGTGGTCTGTGTTGACCGATTAAGCAAGATGGCTCACTTAGCGGCTGTGCCGGATAGCATCGATGCTGAAGGTACAGCAAAGCTGTTTAACGACCGTGTATTTCGCCAACATGGCTTGCCGGTGGCAATTGTTTCTGTGGGGACCCCCGCTTTACTGGAAAGTTTTGGAAGTCTAACTTCAAGGTGCTGGGCACTCGGTTGGACATGTCCACAGCGGATCATCTGCAGACCGACGGTCAAACTGAGCTTTTACCGCGTCATCAACGACATTTTGGGCAGTGTTTGCGCTGATAAGCCTAGGCGTGGGAGCTCATTGCTCCCTAATGTTAAATTTGCGTTGAATAACGCTGTTCATTCCTCAACAGAATTTACTCCGTTCCATATAAACGGTCTCACTCACGCCGCGTTTCGTTAACGCTATCACTACGTGATTTAGGGCTTGGTGGGGGAGAGGTTGCCGATCGGCTTGCTGATATCAGCCCTGCTACTGTTCAAAGACAGGTAGGCGAGTTTCTCGCAACGCGATTCAATTTCCTAAAACCTGTGCGTGACGCAACGGCTGATAGCCAAGATACCCAAAAACAACTAGCTGATGCCAAAGGCAGAAAGTGCATTGAACCTTATGATGTCGGAGACCAAGTATTACTCAATGCTAAAAATCTACCTACAAATGTAGTGTCTGCGGTCTTTAAAAGAAATTTGCGTTCACGCTTTATTGGACCGTTTACAGGTCACTGCTAAGAGAGCCTTGCGTATACGCTAAACCTTTCGTGCAAATTGCGCACACATCCAGTGTTCTACGTAGGCTTACTTAAGCCGTACCGGGATCCTTCCCATGTGAACTTGGAGGCGCTTGCGCCGACAACAAGGGCACTGCCCCGGATTGCTGTAGACGAATCAGCAAGTCCATCTGATCCTCGCTCCGATTTTGAGCTTGCTCCATCGCCTGAAGGCGGTTTTGCATCGCATCCAGAATGCACTGGGTCTTTCCCAAGGTATTTTGAAGACCCTTTACTTCGAGAACCAATTTCTCGTGGGCCTCCACCGGTACATCGGCCGCCACCGACTTTGCTCGATCAGCACGGGTGTCGTCAATTTCATGTCGAGAGACTAATGAAACGACGACGTCGTCAGGGCCAATACCAGTACCTGGTAAAGTGGCGAGAGTACCCTGAGTCTGAAAACTCATGGGAGTTTGAGATACCCCTTCGGCAAGACTGCCCTTATGCTTTGGATGCTTCTGAGCATCGTGGCCATGGTCATCTCGAGACCGAGGCCGTTCCTCACCACTAGTGGTGCGGGTTGGCGGGTTGTTGGCCACAGACTGAACAGCACTCGCGGCTACCTTAGTAGCCGAAGCATAGCGCGTGCACTTGCGCAATTGGCCTCTGGCCTTATGCTTGGCGTAATCATACCGAAGCTTGATTTTGAGACGCACATCCGCCGCATGGGCACTAGCTTTTAGAGCAAACATGTTGCTGAGGCGACGCACATAGTGCACCCAATGAGCGAAGGAATCGTCTTCTTCGCTCACTGTTTCTCCTGCGAACAAGTGAATGGGTATACTATTGATCGGTGGAACTGGTGTACCACGTGCTTGCATGTCAAGGCCTGCCTTGTACTGACTTTGAGTTGTCAGGTGCGGCTCCAGGTACCTATCACGAAGAGCCTGGCAGCTCACCACCTCCTCAGAAGTATTAGGCCCATGGCCAATGACCCACGTTGCCAATGTTTGGCCGGCCGCTTGACGCAGACGTTCCTCCAAACTGGGTGGGGTGAACACATCATCACGCTGGCGTTCAAGGCTGGAAACCATTTTTACATGGTTGAGCGTTTTCTTCTTGTTGGACAAGCAATTGTTGTTGCTCATCGAAAGGGTTCGTGATAATAGTTTCATCAGAACCAGATGCTGAATGCTGCGCTTGTGGCGCGCTCGCATCTCCACGTTCAGACAACGGATTTGGGGTGTTCGAAGGTTGTGCCACAGGCATCAGTGAGTCGGACATTGACCCTGTGTCACCGCGGACACTGGTATCGCTACCATAGTCCACCTCCTCCTCTATTCCTAGGTATTCACACAGAGCCTTTGACTCGTTTGGTGATGAGGACATCGTGCTGGAGCGTACTTTACCGCGAGGTTTACCGTACGCGCACTGTTCTCGCTTAGGAACACAAGTTCGATTAACGTTTTGGTAAACGTCAGTCTGGTGAGGGAAGGTGTAACGGGGTTGCACGAAAATGTGGTTCTTTGTACCAGAGGTGTTACACACCTGAGGGTACCCCTTTGTGAAGGTGATATCGAATATCGTATTGGTTTGTGGGGCTGACGAGTGTCAGCCATTAGGTACGAAAGATCTTTGAGTAGGATTAAGATAATTTATAGGCTTTAACAAAATAAAATCAGTTCCCATTTTGATCTAAGGGACACGTGGCTTGCGAGCCGTCTTGATCGTTGATCACTGATCACAAAGAGTTAGCAAAACCTCCTTGAGGTATCTACTCTTGGGCACTAAGTGCTGTCGATTCACTGAATCGTTAGGTCCCCTGGAACAGGGATCTGAACCTGTAAAGCTTGTTGACTCGTAAAGTCGTTAGTTCTTTAGAACTAAGTTGCTCTTAGAGCGTTAAGCTTTCCTCTGACTTAAGGAGCTGTGTAGCTCCGCTACCCTTTACCTCAACTTTTTCGACTAGTGATCCAGCCAATTAAAAACCGATTTTTCTAATAATTACATATCGTTACCGATTCCAGATCTTTACAAAAATACTTAAACACATACCAAATTTCAAAATCAGTACTACACAGAACCTTAATAGTGTTGTACACATTATTCAATTGTTACATCTGACTGGATAGTCTGATTATCTAGATTGTTAAGGTATAAAGTAACCTTAGGCAGATAAAGATAAAATTTTATAAAAGAGCCGGCGGCGATCGATTTAGGCTCGATTCGCGGGTCACTTTACTATCTTATGGAAGAACCTTCGAACCGGCTTGCTGCAATCATGTTTTTAGACCAAAGCTCCAGTATAATTAGACAGCGCAAGGTGAAGGAGATTAGTGACGAAAGCAAAATTTATGCACCCCACCAGTAAAAGGCCCGCGATGTATGTGTGCGTTGAAGCAAGAATAAATAGAAAACTACAGAGCCTTACGCCTCCACGCTCTCCGGTAGCCAGTCCGATTGTGCATGGCCATATTTAAACCATTAGCACGGCTAATTTTACTACTGTAAACTTAAGATGTCTTTATTCGAAGCGACAAGGGCGTCAAGAGTATTTTGGATGTGGCGGTTGTGCGTGCCAATGAGAACATTGAGATACAGAAGCCCCGTTACAAGGTTAGCATAGCAAATGACATGGAAGGAGAACAGAAAACTAAAAACAAGTCATTTCTGTTTGCATAAACAAACTGGGGTGTGGAAACAATGGGTTTCTCCACAACCTTTGATATAAATTTACTCGCTCCTTACACGTGGCATTACATATATACGAGGTACATGACTTTTGTTAAACTTCCTTGATCATCTATCATGTCACCAGCTGTATCATTTCTGCATGCTTAGATTTTCGCGTGTCACATTCTTCATATCCTCAAGGGCACAAGAGTATCGCCGTTCCACAAGTCCACGATCCAAAACCTCGTGCGCGCTTGTGATAGTAAGGCTAACATTCTCACGCGCTCCATTATTACAGAGATTGAGTAAAGTGGACAGGTGGTTGGGAGTCATTCTACACATCAGAAGCCCTAGCGATGCATCATGACTTAAGGCTTGCAATCGTCATTGGCAAAACATTTGTAAGGACATTTGGTAAATCTCAGCTTACGAGATATTACGTATTGGCCTGGTCGCACAATTTAGAAAGTTTATGGCTTGTAATGTGCAATATGCGCATCTCGCAGTGCTACACGTACACAGTTACATAGTACACATGCATTATGACATCCCAATCGGCATCAATTGTACCGATACACTTATCAGCGCCTTGCTTTATCAAAGCGAACGGTAACATTCCACAACGGGGTTCTCACACTCACGAGCTAGTAGGCCTCTTGTGACATGGCTTGCGTGCATCGGGCAGTTTACTAAGGAAAGCATATTTGCACATGGGCGCGAATTGGTGAGAATACGAATAGTTTGATAAAGTGACTGTTTTAAACTGAAAAAGTCTGACAGTTGTCGTAAGTTGAGAGTTCTCGCTGATAATCACAGATATGATTATCCCATGTTGTAGTAAGATGTAATCTGGTCTAAAGTATTGTGGTGGTGATGCTTCCGAGACTGATACCGGGAATGAGACCTTTGGATCAGTATGGCACTAGTGATGTGATTTGCTTTTCGTGTATCCAGCCAAACATTCCAAGTAAGTGGCGGCTAGCTAATAGATTGTTTGGTGTGAGTTTACTGATATCAAAAGTGTCGATGAATTTTCGCTTATTGAAGCTATTCAACTAGTTGATGTTCTCAAATTTTGATTGAAAAGAGAAAAAACCAGGATCCAGAGGATTATCCTTCTTAGTAACGCGCCAAATTCGTTCAGCGGCATGTACAAATCAATAAAAAGAAAGACTTTGTTGAGGCAGCTTCTTCTTTCTACCACGGAAAGACGCGAAAAGTCCCCTTTTACTTTATGTAATTTAGTGCTTTCTATTAATCTACAACGCGTATACTGTAATAGGAGGTGCAAAACTTCATCGTCATTAAGTGTTGAGCAATTTTTTTTGGTATGCCTCAGTATAAAATACATTGCTTTAATGTAATCTAGTGTGGTACTGGTGTGTATGTGTTGCTAGACTCTCTATGAGGTCACAAACAGTAACCTTATCATCGAGCTTCATTTAAATGTGCACATCTACATACGAGAGGGGGCATGATACATCGCTTATAGTACGACATATGAGGTTTGCCTAGCGTTACTTGCATACACGTACAAAGGAGCAGGCATTCTACATTACATAAGGTAATATTTGTATGGTATATCTAGATTTACTTACCGAAACATTAATAGTGGGACAAAACTGTTACATCGCACTTAGTATGACGCGTAATGTACATCGAGCAGTATTTCGAATTTGAAGGGTGAAGTGATTATGGACTATGTGCGAGGTGGATACCGGAATCTTAACACCTACATTTTGTTTGTGTATGTGTAAACACCAACGTGTGTACCTTGAATGTCGAACTAACGGTGGAATTGGTGCCTCTTCAGATACGCAGATATGCGTAGTAAGTGTCACTATTCCATTAAGTCACTATTTGGTACCGCTTGTAGTGCTTAACACGCACACACGTGCCAAGGCCCAAACGTAATTGGTTAAAAAGTGGTTTAAGGCGAACACAGTGCACGTTAGCAAATGCTCGACACTTAGCGGTAGCGGCAGTCCCCACCTCGGGAAAACAGTAAATGTAAAGTCATTCTAATCCGAGCTGCTTGATCAATTTAAAAAGTAAAACTGCTGGTCGCCTATCATATTCTAAGATCATGGGAGCCCCCAAATTAAATTTATCTGACGTCCAGTTATATATCGTCGGCCAACTTTGCTACTAACAGAGTTATTAAACCGGTTCATCTGCCGACTATCTGATCTTATTCTCGTCTCTTTCAATGTCAATAACACCAACGAGTAGAGTAGCCTTGTCACCACAAGCTGCTGGTAATTTAAATTATTAACCTACACAGCACATTTTATCATCCTAGCCACGAAATACCTAATATAGGGAAGTTATTTTATAGAACTTGAATTAGTTCTCTGGGTGAAGAGCTTTTGATAGGAAGCCAGGGTTTGCTTCCCTATCTCTTACAGGCATATAAACACAAGTTATCCGACAGTGTCTCACGCAGTAATACTGATACGGTACACTTAGTGTTATTAACATACAACCAGGCAAATAGTGTTTCTGAAGGTTCGGCATTCACCTCGCGCACGGTCACTCTTTGAAGTGGAGCTGCACAGCTTTTATTTAGAGGAATACTTAAGGCTCTAAAAGTCACTGAGTTCTACAGATTAAGTTTTAATTGGTTTGAAGAAACAGTTCTCAGAACTCCTCAACAAGGTTTCGGGTATGCTTTAAACTCATTAAATTCTATTTCTAGTTCAGAGGCTAACAATGACTGAAAAAACTGTACGCGCAATGTGCTCCAAAGTATACGCCACAAGATGGCCTCTACTCGTAAAGATTTACTGACGTCTAACGTAGACACGTGTCAATTTTAGATCAAAAGATATAATTAATTTTTATTTCTTAGCTACATTTGTAATAAAGCTCCTTCAACTACCTGATTAAGCTTAGCCTATTTCGTGTAAAATCGTGAATAGTGAAGATCGATGGATGGCACATCAATCAGTCATCCATGGATGACTGAGGTTATCAAGCACATTAATTTAAACAAATAAAACTAGAAATCATTATCACACATTTACAAGGTATATCACTTTATCGAGGTAACAGTCGTGTGACATTGTTTGTGGCGGGATAAACCTGATCCAGCTAAGTGGATAGACCTTGCACTGCTGACAGTGCAAGGGTTTGTGCGTCCGACTATCTCACGTACACGTACGTGGAGAGGAAGATTGCTATACGAATTAGAAATGAACAAAGGTAAAAGTCTGACTCATTGCTGATCGGATTAACAGTACTCGGTGAAGGTAAAAAGTAGAACTGTATTCGGCATTGTAAATTCTCTTGAAAAATGTCTATTTGACTTCATTTAGCTACGTCCAGATACAAGTATGTATTGTAACTATTTGCGTGCTCATCATTGCAAGCTTTGTCGTGGCTAGACTTAATTGGTTAATTTCTCGATCCTATATCAATTAGTGAGCAGTGCGTTACATCTGCGAAGCAATATAATCTATCGTGATAATATTGAGAGATAGGTTTTGAGAGTCCGGCATCTACCTTGCGCACGGTCACTAATAGCTTCGACCTTCGGGCTGGCAGTATTGTAGACTAGCTTGCGATTTGGTGTTTGTTGCGCAACGATGGACTAACTTTCAATCCTGTTTGATGAGACGTTCGTTTGAAACTTACTGCTGCAAAAGGCAAAGCAAAACTACCGTCCTGCGAATGGAGAGGCTGCACGTACCGGAAGACAAACTTGAGGTAGAACGGCAAGCGCGAGACATCGTTCCAGAAGCGGATGGCTGCTGACACACTCTTTGTCAAGAGCAGCGTCGTCGACGCGCTGTTGAAATCGCTTGAAAGTGATCGTGTGTGGGCTAACGGCACCTTTTTGCATCGTGGACAGGTACGACACTCGCCCGATCAGCACTGGTTCAGTTTTTTATCCGTTGTTGTTTCAATGTTTTTGTCCTGGACATGCAACAATTCTCGATGGAGCGTAGCGTTCCTTTCAGACCGATTGGGCCGAAGTAGCTTTATTCAAGTCCGTCTTAACACTCTCGTTTCGCAGATGGCCGATGGGAAAGGTGTCGAACACTGAGTAGCTACGTGCGAGGCTCAAGATCGGTTTATTACGTAGGTGCGGCCTGTGACCGAGTACCAAACAATGACAATTGCGGCGAGACCGATGAAGCACAGTCGTGCAAGGCGGAACGTGGACAGAGATGTAGAACTAATTCGGGACGCATGGTTTGCTCTGCCACAATGGCGATTAGTACGCGGTTGCAGTGATGATTGCATGACAGTCGTTCACGGGACAAGGGACGGTAGATTGACGAACAAAGGAATCAGTAAAGCGAAGAAAGAATGAAGACTAGTCATTAGCATGCAATGTGTCGAAACACGTAAACGATATCGAACGGTGCACCTATTCGTAAGCAAATTGTGCTCGAAAAACAGCTCTTGCACTCCTCGCTGTGCTCGGGCATAGCACATTGTACCTGGAGGACAGCTCATGCACTCTGCGCTGCGCTCGGGCGTGACGAACTTGTAGTATTCGTGACAACTCTGTCCATCGTTCACTGAATTTTACGTTCATTAACATTGCTACGTCATGCCAAAACAATCTAAAGAAATAAAAATCTAGTCACTTACGAGCTCCTCGTCCGACTAACGCATTCGCTTTCTCGGAAGTACCCAATCAGCCAGTATTTGACAGCTTGTTGGAGGTCATTCGATTCGCCTTCTCGATAACTGAACCAATTTTGGCTATCGCTTCTTCCATGCGCCGCCCGATCAATTGATAATCCCTTTTGGCCCTGAGGTGATCCACGTAATCTTTCCACAATGCAAAGCGTGGAGTTCTATTCTTCACATCGCTATGCTGAAGATCTTCATGGAGCTTGAGGTCTTTCCACAAGGCGTCAGATGTCACGCGTTGGGACCTCCAAATTGAGAACAGCTTCTGCTTCATGAACGCAGCGGGAGACAACACCTCCCCTGGAATACCTTTCGACCTGCGGATAATCGACGTCATCTTCCAGGCGTCTTTAGACCTCTCATACGCTTGTAACGCATTAGGTTCGCCCGCGAATAAGTGCCAAAGGACGAGTTGCTCGTCGTCTAGAGCGGAAAAAGACGCGGATGAGGCGACGCAACGCCAAATTGCCCAGAACGTGTGAGATCAGCGAATTCATGCGCGATTGCATTGAGTTTTGAATTCATGACCTGTCTTTCTTCTTCGTCAACAGCGAGAGCCCCTCGCAGATGCCCTCGAACAGATTTCTCGCTTTGCTTCCAACCGGGTGCGCTGGATTGGTTCAGTTGTTCAGCTTTGTCCATAGCAGCGACCAAGGACGTAGCAAGCAGCACAATAGCGAAGTGGGGACGCATGTCGGATGTATGGTAAAAACTACACTGTTGGCTTTCGAAGTGAGCGCGGCGGAGATTTGCATCGGCTATCGTTCTCGAACGACAGCGAATACCGTCGCAGGTATGACGCCAACTCAGGGTCGATCTGGTCGTCACGGGTTGAAGTTTGGTTCGGACCAGCTGGACCAGGCCAACTTATTGGGTCATCCAGCTCCATTTTACATGTGTAGCCCACGATATTGTCAAAGTAAACTCAGTGGCACATTTGCAAATAAGTGAATACTGCGTGACCAATTAAGTGGACGAATTGAATCATGCTTCGTTCGCGTCCTAGGGGTCAGTAAATGATCTGAATAATCGATCATCTCAGCGCAGCCGCAACTACTTGCAGTCGAACAGTGCAACCAGAGCATGGAATCTAATGACGCACTAGTGTGTAGCGTGACGTGTGAGGTTACTCACGGATAAAGGTTGGGAGTTAGTTATTGGATCACGTCAAAGCATCAAAAAAATGTTTCCTGCTTACAACTGGTCGAAACCGCACGTGGATTGGCGCAGCGGTTTTTACAACTTCGTAACGTATCTACAGCGTACACCTTTATCACTTTAGACAGCCTAACGCCATTAGCTTACCTCAAATCCCTTGCGACTACTCAAATATGAAAACACACGCATTGTACCTTGCTTCGATTTCTATCCATTTTTTGAAGCTCATTCATCGAATTCTGATCCAGGTTTATGGTCCCATTTATAACTGTAAAGTTAGACACTGCTTCGTCGCAAGTTGCTGGTCGTCATGATTGTCGAGTTTATGAAGCCCATTTCTCCCTCGAAAAGATAAAACACGTTATAACTCAGCTTGTCTTATCGCCACAACTGGTGCTCACAGCAACCACTAATTGCTGAATAATTTTTGTCGTCGAAGGCGACTGACAAGGCTTTTTTCTGTATAGTTCGGCTCAATCCATTACATCTGAGAAAAACATGATAATATATATGCAGTTAAAAACATGAGCAGATCACAAACATGAACAGATCCACTATCACAATTCCAAAGAGGCGAAAATGAACTGGAATTGGAATACAGAACTCACTGCATGCTCCAAACGCAAAAGAAAAAGGAAGCTGTTTACATTTTCCGCCCTACGTAAACATCGTACAAAATCACACAATTTACCGACAGTACAAACGCGTCGCCAAGTGGTGCTTAACAACCCTGGTCGCCCCCGCGTATTGCTCATCCTATCTTTACCGTCATCTTTTCCTCCCTCATGCGTGACCATGACAATAAACTTAATTTTCTCTTGAATCGACGAGACAAGTGAGCGTTTTTTTCTTGAGGGAAGTGCTTTGTAGTGAATAGCTGTGAACGGCTTTTGCTTCAGTAGTCGAGCAGATGCCTATAACGTTCGAAGCAGACAAGGAGCGACAAAGCGTCAACGAGTTGCAGGTATTGAGTACGAGATATGACGGTATGGCCGCAAATGAGACATAAGCTATTGCTGTGCTGGGCATGTTGAAGGTCTAACCCATCAGTCCGAGCGAAGACCGTGGCGTGAACGTTTTAAAGACGACGGGGCTGATAACCAAATCACCGCGTTTTCGAAAGTTTTGGCGGCTCAAGAGCTGTAAAGAATGTTGGATGCAAACTATTTTTGCCCCGAGATAATGCTTGCTAAATAGTCTCAATGTCTTGGATTATCTCTGCTCATCACTGTGTCAGGATATAACTGATGACTTTACCATTCCAGCTCAAGTTATGAGGTCCATGCAATCACCAATAGCCCCTTTTGTCTCTCTGTCAAAAGTGTAAAGTGGTTGCTTTTATCTCGTGCTTTCAGCATCTGCGTATCAGAAAAATACTGCAACGCTAGATCGTGTGCCGTCGTTGCGTCGCTCACTCACAAGGTACTTCATGCCGCACATTTGGGGACTGTGCTTCTGTGCTAGTCTTGACATGTAACGTTGTGAACCTGTTACAATTAATTAACATTCAATGATTGTTAATCAGAATACTATCAGAAAAGTCGATAATGTTCATAAATATTATCACGTAGGGTAATATTTAGAAGCATTCATCGATTGGCCCATACGGACCATCGTATCAGTCAACTCAAGCGGTCCGATCGATAATATACGCGCGCAACGAGTGGTGAGCAGGACTTCAACATACATTGTCGTAGATTGATAAAATTAGCTAGGACTAAAATTGAGGCGGATGATCAGGCTTAGTTTATTCAATAGAGTTTTACTTTCTCCCTCTGTCAGACAAGTATTCGATAGCTAGTCTTCCTCTGCACGTTCATTGTACGTGAATGATGCGCCACACAACTCACACTGTGTCAGTGTAGTTTAACTTGTACTGTGTCGGTACAAGTTATTAGTGCCCCGTTACATGAGGAACAAGGTACTCCAGAACTACGAGAGCACGAAGTATCAGCTAATCATTCGTGCGATAATTTGCACGAGACCAATCTGTTGACCGGGCGCTCTCAGGATTGCAACGTTAAGCTCTATCAGCGATCAATCGTGACACATGACGATTACATCAGGCGTACACAGTGATTTCTTGTGTCTGAAAGATGAGCAGGATCGTAGAGAAAGACTCAAAGCACTATTTATGTAGAACTGTGTACTAGAGGATACAAAATAGGAGACGTCGTCTATTATCAAACGATTTTCGACCTGCCCTGCGTTAGTCCGCATCGAACAATAACGATCGTACCATTTGCGTGGATGTTGTGATGTTTACGTAAGGCGGGGAAAAGGGCAGGGAATGTAAAAAGCTTCTATCAAAAAACAATTTGGCTGATTACTGCTTCATCGATGCGTAACCCGTTACCTGGACCAGCCGGGTCAAATCAAACACCCGGTCGACCCTACAAAAGCTGGTCCGGGTCGGAATCCTAGTCGCAGACTAGAAACAGTGGGCGAAAGTCGTGGGTAACTTTAAATACACCTACAGTTGTCGCTACATACACCTACAATTTTCGCCAATGCGCCCACATGCCGCGTAGGCTATCATTTAACTTAGTAAACTTTGACAAAAATGCTAATAGGAACTCCCACAACTTACAAGGGATACTGACAGCCGGTCACAAGCCTCCTTAATTACTTCCACCTCTTGCCGTATGCCACATCAATTGCAAGTTGAATTACGGAGATGCCGAATGGAGTCACGAACAACGAACGCAAAGGCTCATTATTGTTTCAACTACACCTTGGCGCAACACTGTCGTCCACTCGCCTCACAGCGAATTTATCAACATCAAGGAGTAGATAACTCCTGTACTGCACTTCAGAGAGAGCATTAACTTGGTGTTCATTTACTAATCGTGTAACGGGGTAGCTCGTTGCATGATATTGACACCAAACGGTGTCAATAGAGATACTGTCTAGCTTGACAATATTCCACCAATATTATCCGAGATGGATAATATTGCAGGAATATTATCCCCTTGTAGGATAACGTTCATGCGCTGCTCAAAGATTGGTTGATAAAAGACAAATCAACCATAGATTACCACCAATCGCTGCTAGACGCGCGCAAAGAGTGGTGAGCAGGTTGTCGTCATACGACGACGTAGTTTAATATAGTCAGATAAAGATTGCAGTTATTTTGATAGCTTAACTATATTTTAAATGCAGTTCTCTTTTACCCTTTACTCAACCTAATTGTTGAGTAAATTAGCTTCCTCTGCGCGTACTAGTGTACGTGAATTTTCGCGGCACCCCAAACAAAGAGTGCCCCGTTACACTAAAGGTAACTCTCACGAAGTATGTGAGGATTAGAGAACCTCTTAGTTTATACCCGTTTAGTTTAATAGACTGAGAGACCCAACAAGTCTGTGAGTCTTTCTCTGACAAAGAATTAAGGGTAGCTCCGCTCAATAGGACCAACGCCCTTCGCAATTTTCATCGACAAAAAACACGATGGAGCTTTTGGTTGTTCCACCGGCATTTAGCACTACGAGACTATGGCTTTCACTGAAAGATGTTATTGCTTACCCTGGCTCGACTTACATTCTCGTTGCTAGCAGTCGAATACTGTACAAGCTATGCCTCCCAAGGGGCAAGCATAATTGATCATCCCACTCAAGAATGTACCGGAAAGGTTTCCGCGTACCTCGGACCTTCTGTTCTGTCTTGTAATTTTTTTCAGTGTCTCTGTGGATCACGGATATGACTTCCTATCCTTCTCCCAGTTTTCATATAGGAAATGAACAAATGAACGGGTGGTTTGCATAGCAAGTCAGTGATTCTGCTTGTGCGCCCATTGCCAGTCGTCAAGACTCAGCGAGAGTCATCATGCAGCGATCGCGGTGTTTTGGGAGCGTGTTTCTTTAGTAAGTGTTGTCTTCCAGCACGCGTCTTTCTTGTAAATAGCGGTATCCCCCAGCGAGCATTTCTCAGAATATGGTCTTTTGGAGGCGTCTACTTGTTATCCGACTCGCTGATGTCCATTGCGTACTACAACATCACCTAACCTTGTTCTTTTGAGGACGTTACATTGCGCTGGTGGTTCCGGCTGATTTGAGATTGATAGAAAGTTGTTGTAGATCAGGGGGATCAAGGATGCCTGAATTAGTTGCTCGACTACTTTCAGGCTGTGTGCTCTCACACGCCATGACTCCAGCTTTTTTTATGTAGCTCTAGTAGCTGTCATTTTTGTACTGGCACCCAGCAATGAACGCCTCATATTCCATTGTCCTGTACTCAACACGACGCAGCGGTTTCTGGTAAATGCGTTGTGTTGGTGCTGTGCGTCACCGTTGTATGTATGCCAGTATAGCCTGCCGTAGCTAAAAGTGTAGGAAACTGAGAACGCATAAAAAAAGACTTCACCTTTGGATGCGTGCCATAAGCGATTTGGCCAGCCATTGTGGGTCTTCTTAGTGACCTACTTATCGCAAAGTGATCTCTCTCAGCGCAGCGGCCCTTGCCGCTGTCACGCAGATACTGATGCACTGAATATTGCAAAACTACGATGTGACTAATCAAGCGTACCTTAGCTCTCCTCATCAGCGTACATTTACCGCCGGCTAGATACGAAACACCACTTTCCAACGAAAAGTATAGCGGCTTGCGTCCCTTCCTCATTGTGTTTCAGCGTTACTAGATGTGTCATCCCGTCACAAGGAGTTCCGTTTCGACAAGTTCTGATTTGTCTACTGTGGAAACACTAGCCTTAGATAGAAGTGCACTTCACAATGTGACTGTTCATGATACGACCTGTTCAAATAAACTCGCCTGTTGCCAGCTTCCTCTAAAGTAATAGTGATACATCTACCCGTCACGTCGTCGCACGAACGAAAAAGACCAAACTACTCGCTCAAATGAGCTTCTTTCGTATGTGTGCACCTTTTGTCGGTTCACACCACGTACACCAACCTATAAAATCTCGTCGAACCTATGTTACGTCCGCCACATCAATTCCCCCGTCCACCAATCAAATTCAGCGAATCTCAAACATGGCATCGCATGGCGACCACGAAGACGGCGAGATCGTGGAGGAGGAAGACGACGTCTCTGTCTCCGTCTCCGTCCTCCCCACCCCTTCTTCTTCCGTGCAAGGACCTACGCCCGTCGTCGTCTCGTCTGCCAGCTCCCCGCTGCTCCCGACACCCAGTAGCACGTCCCGCAAGCGTCTCCATTCGTCCTTGATACAAAGCTCAAGAGCTCCCGTGTCCACGTCCGCGTACGACACGCGCCCGTCTTTGTGCCATCGAGCAGTGGCGCGGTACCGCCCATCGATTCCATCAAATGGGTACATAAATGACCGCAGAAAGAGCGACGACCAGCAAGATATGGACCGCCGGGTGTTTTATACAGAGGACTTGATTATTAAGTATCCGAGACAAGAGCCACGCAGTCACGTGCTGCTGAACTTTGCAACGTGGATGGCAAGTGTCTCATTTAGGAAACGACTGGATGTTGAAGACGTGCGAAAGCTCGTGCTGCAGGTGCTGAGAGGAGGCAGTAGGACTGAAGAAGGGGTTGTGAGCCCTTTTTTGCTGCCGTCTTTGATGCCTGGTACACCACTGCCTGACAAGGTTGTTATGGTGCTGCTCGAGAAGATGCACCCCTCAGTGGTGCAGAAATACCGACCCAAGTTGAGCTTTTTTGATAGCTGTTCGAGTGTTCCAGTCGTGCTGACAAAACAGGAGCTAAATCAAGTGCGAAGGGTGGAGGCGCCCGTGCCAGAGTTAGTGTACAGGTTTCCACGACCAACGGTTGATACTCGTGAATTGTCGATGGACGAACTGTTTTACGCTCATGAGCTGACGTTCTTGATGAAGCACTCGGCTGGATTCACGGATGAGCTGGTGCTCTCGCCAATTGGCACTTTTATACGCAAGACGCAGCCTGTTGGAGGGACGTGGGAACTTGACGGCGACTTGCTGCATTTGAAATGGAGACAGCGCTCGATGAAAGTGGCGTCTGGGGCTGAGGATGACAAGGTAGCAAGTCAGGACGTTGGGACAGAAGAGGAAGACGCCAACGCGTACACGCTAGATGTGCTTGTAAGCCAGGATGCGAGTATGCACGAATTTCGAACCGATTCAGTGACAGATGAGGCCTATGCCCACAAGGTGCCAGAACATTTGGCGAAGAAACGTCGTGGGAACGACAAGCCGCGCTCCATCTGGCTATCTCTCGCAAAAGCGATCGCTGTTGGCGTTCCTCGATCTGCCGATGGGACAGTGATTCAGCATAATCGAGTACAAATGAATGGCACATCAAAGCATCAACACGATTCCACTTCAGCTGACGAAAACGACACTGAGGAAAAGAGCGAAAAAGAGGAGTTGAAACGCGAGGCGTTTGAGTATTACCTGCTTTCGCTCGAAGAAATGAAGCAGCACGGTTATCCGATAGACGCGGAAGAAGAACAGCGTCAGCTGATGGAAGCTACGGACGGGAACACGCGCGATAAATTTGTGGCAACAGCTGCTCGATCAACAGTTGCAGCCGAAGACTCTGCCTCAGGTGACGACAAAGAAGGGGCGGCGGTAGAAACGAACGAGACGATGGTGGAAGCGTCGGAGAGTAGTTGTTTTATCTATGCACTGGACTGTGAAATGTGCGAGACGGACATTGGCATGGAACTTACGCGCGTAACGGTTGTTGACATCAAGGGCACCGTCGTGTACGATCAACTTGTAAAGCCACAAAGCACGATCATTAATTATCACACTGCATTCAGTGGAATCTCAGCAGAGACATTGCAGGACACGAGTTGCATTGTGGCTGATGTGCAGCGGGATTTGACGACACAATTTCTTAGCAAGGATACGATCCTTGTGGGCCACTCTTTGACAAGTGATCTACGCGCTCTGCGTTTGGTGCATCTGAAGATCGCTGACACGTCTATCTTGTTTCCTCATCAACGCGGCTTTCCATTTCGCACTTCGCTGAAGTATTTGACAAAGACCTATTTGAAGAAAGATATCCAGATGCAGATCGAAGCTGGACATGACTCGGCAGAGGACGCCATTGCGTCACTGGAACTGCTGCTTATGAAGGTTCGCGAAGGGCCCTGGCTCGGCATTCCTGAGGCAGTTTCCTCGAGCAGTGCTTTCGATTCAATTGTGGACAAGGTCTTTGCACTCGACAAAACGATGGCAATGCTTCGTTTGCAGAGCAGCGGTAAGCCCGAGAAAGAGGCACCAAGTGACAGTGGAGACAATGTTGCATCAGAGCGAAAGCCATGGGATTTATACGCGAGCGGCGATTTGAAGGATCAATCGCAGAGCCCTTTTTGCCATGCTCAGGCAGTAAAGAGTAAGGCTGATGCGTGCGCGTCAGTCCCGTCCACTACTTCGGCAGGTGCTTTGTCGAAAGTTGAGCTATGTTCGTCGTGGGAGGTGCTGAAAACAAGTCTCCAGAAAGCCTTGAGTACCGAGCAGCCCGATTTGTGCTGGGTTGAAATCGAGCCCCCAAGCGCAAGTGCAGCGCTGTGTAATGACTTCGTAGACAAACACGAATCGTGGATGGCCGAACAAAAAATCTACTGCGAAAAGGTGGATGCGTTTTTGCAGCAAATCTGTGATGAAGCACTGCCCAAAGGCACGCTGCTGTTAGTCCTTCCTCAAGGTGATTTGAGCTTGTTGCGGTATCTCAAGGGTCTGCGGACGCGCTCTAAGTGGCGCGACTCCGGTCCAAGCTACGATGACCTTGCACCCGAAAAGTTGCACGCTGCGGTGGGAGATGCTTTTCGCGGTGTGATGGACAGCTGCTTGTTTATGAAGCAGAAATAAAAAATGGGTATGAAAGCCCGTAACGACAGGGTGGTGGGGCTTGGGCATAAGTCGTGAGTGAAAGCAAGCAATGGAACTGACATATAATCGAGACAGTGGTGGACAATGAAGAGGGAGTCAGTTGGAGACACTGGCCGTGACAATGCGACATGGTTTTCATTACTGCTAAAGCTCACCAACACAGCTTACGATCGTCTTCTCATTGTGTACGAGGACGACTTACCGCACGAGATGTTATGGGCAGTTTGCCGCGCGAGAGGGGGGGAGACAACCCGATGCCAAAAGTTGACAAGATGGCAAAGAGAAGTAGGCGACTGCCAGAATCGAAGACCTTGAGTGGTGGGCAACAAGATAGAGTCGAGATACTGGATTACAACTATCTGCTTGCGGCGATGCGTTGGTAGAGGTTTCACGCCTAAGTGATGAAAACTGGTGCAAGATGGACAACACCTCGCTTACTGTCGTGCAAGATTTGCTCCCAAATGGCTGTGCAGTTGCTGGAGGTAAGCATTGAGTCAGTCGGAGGCATGAGGGCGAGATCATAGCCATAAACACGCGATTGTATGTGCACACTGTATTGTCGGGTATTACTTGGACGGTCGAGCTCTCAGGAGAAACGTGTTGATCCAAATGACGACGAATGAAGGCTAAAATAATGCGGGTGTGAGCCAACACGGAACGTGCACGCTGAGTGTGGTTCGACCATTATTGAATCATAACGCGGTAAATACGCGTCGGGAATGACAATATCGACAGTGGCTCATGGATGCACGATCAGTCGACCAAGAATAGATGGACAAACCGTAACCAGTGCCTTGCATTGTTAGTACGACTTCAGCTGCCGAACTTGCATTGCTTGTGTTTACATGCACGAAACAGGCGATTGCGTGTGGTGCAGGTCAGGACACCGGAATAACATCACAGCTATGTGATGATCGAGGAAACAGCGATGATTGAACGGGATAAGGTATTCTGGCTACCGTGTAGCTTCCAGCTTACTCCGAGTCTTCTTCATCCACCGTGCGTCGCTTCTTGTGACTGTGGATAACCATTTCTTCTTCCTCGTCGTCATCTTCGCCCTCGTCCATTCCAGCATCATTGTCACTCTCTGATCGATCAGCGTCACGTTCACGCTCACGTTCACGCTGGCGCTGGCTGCTGCGGTACTCATCGAAGCCACCACCAGGCACTGGACGACGAGCGCCGCTCTTTCGCTGAGCAGCCGGACTCTTTCGCTTCCCGAATTGTTCCTTGATAGCACCCACGTGCTCATCATCATCATAGTCCATTGCATCGTAGCCTTCCTCCAGAAACTGCACATCCATGCGTGAAGACCGTTCACGGTCGAACTCGTACCCCTGACGTGCCTTCTTGCGATTTTGTAGTCTGAGCTTCTCGTCCGTGATCTTGACACGCTGTTCCTGCTCGCGCTCACCGTCCAACTCGGAGATATACTCCTTCATTTTCTGCACACTCTTGTTATGCTTGGCGCGCATAGACATGGTGAGACTCTGGTGCGACTTACTGGCAGTGGTCATTGGACGAATGGTAAACTTCTCATTGAGTCGTGCGTGACACTCCAACACACTCTCCTGTCCTGGCACCACATCGTCATTATCCTGGAAGTGCGGACTATCACTCGCCATCTCGTTTACAAACAAAAACGAGTTGGCGAGTTTCTGACGAGACAACGTCAATGCTTCTTTGCCCACAAACATAGAGAACGTGCCGTCCTCCCACTGCACTAGCTTGGCGTTCGATTCCCGTAGCGGAAGCTTCGTCGTCTCATCCAGCAGTACGCGACCTGTTTTCGGGTCGCGCTTGTACCGCCAGCGCACGTAGTTACGATACAACATCTCATCCGAGGGGTTTTCCATGTCAATACGAATAGCCTCCTTCGTATAAGGCTCCGGCACGAGACGCAAGATGTTGGGCATCTTACTGATAAAGTACTTCGCAGTCTTCGAAGCCTTCGGAGTCTTGGGCAGCCAAATGTTGTCCGAGTAGCCGCTATCGCCATCCCCTCCACCTGAAGTGCTGCGGTCCCCTGCATCGTCCCGAGAAAGGTCGTCATTATGACGTCCTCCGTCCCGAGCGGGCGATTCCTTCACACCTCTATATAGTCATAACACAGCTTAATACGCCCGACTCAATCAAAAACAAATCACGCAGGCATTCCAAGCACGTACGAAGCTTTAAACTCCTCCTCTCCCGAGTCATAATCCGAGCCAAACAAGTCCTCCATTTCCTTGTCCTTTTCGCTCAACACCGCCTCTTTTTTAGCACCAGACGCCACCTCTTTCCTGTCATTTCCCTCTGTAGTGTCATAGTCCGCCTCCTTTTCCTCCTTTCTGTCATTGCTAACGCGCTGATCCGAGTCCAACGACCCGCTGCTCGTCAGATTCTTGCCACTGGACTTCAGTGAGGACCCTCCCAGGTCAAACTCGTCTTCACTGCTGCTGCTGCTGCTGCCGGAAGGAGTCTCCGGAGACGACGCCATCGCAGCTCCCACACGCTGTGTGAGCGAGTGAATATGTGCCGATCGGTACCATGTACCACCACGATGTACCACATCAAGCGGTACAATAGGTTTCGCTTTCGTCGTGTCCGAATCAAAGTGCCCTAGTATTAGTTTATCACCTCATTTTAGGCGCATTCGTAGATATGGAGCAGATCATGCAGATGCAGGACGATATCCATAAGCTCAAGAAGCTCATGGACTCGGTGTTTGAGAGAATGTACGCTCTACTGAATGTTTAGGAGCTCTACAAGTAGATCGTCTTGACCTTTGGACTGACACGTTGTTGTTGTTGTTGTTGTTGATTGCCTTGTATAGTGAAAACCAGTCGGACCAGAATCCGTATGACACGGTAGATGCCTATAGTGAGTCCAGTCTTTTGAGCTTCCACCTACTGATAATGTATTGCTGCTGACTGTGATGGCATTTGAGTGTTGTAGCGGACAAGGACCGAATTGTCGAGATGCTCAATCGTCTGAGCTCCAGGGTGCGACTGATATTGACGCTGAGAGATGATTCGTTATGATCGGGAATGGAGAGAAAGAGAGAGCTGACATGACAGTGCTGCACTAGATGGCAGACGCGGACATGTCCAATCTCACTGCGACGCCGACGAAAGATGCTACTGCTGAAGATATTGCAGTAGGAGATCACAAGAGATTGTTTGCTTTATTGCAAGAGGACGAGCTGCTGACTGACTCGAAATTTCGTGTATAGGAGCTCAAACAAAACATCAATCGCATCGAGGCCGAGCGTCAGAATATCAATCGCCGTGCCGGTGCATCGCTCAAAGGGGTCTTGTGATACGTTCACTTGACTCGGCCATAAATGCTGCTCGCCACGACGTGTTACTGGTCGCCGCTAACACCAGTCAGCTCGAGTCTATTCCTACCTTTATCGACGATTGATCTCACGTGGCTAGCATACCAGCCGGTTACGTTAGCTCGGACATCGTCACTACGGTTTCACTCGTTAAAGTCAAACTCGTGCGAATTGGCCCAAATGTCGTTCGTGATGGCCTTCACGTCCTCCTCTTTCTGGGCACCATCGTCGCCTAATGCTTTCTTCGGTGACTGCGCTGATGCCGGGGGAGGGGACTCGAGTTTGCTATGCTTCGGTGGTCGCTCCCGCGATTTCATGTCCGGCTCGGTGTGCTCCTCAAGCGCTACCTCCTCTGCGATTTTCTCCCAAATCCCTGTCGTCTTCAAATAAACTTCCAAAGCAGAAGCACTTTCGAAGCGATCTTCGCCGGCCACCGCTGTTTTTGGATTGGCACCAGGTGTGAAGTAGTCGTACTCAAAACGTCCAGGCCGGTAGAACCAGCCCCGCTTGACCAGCTTCTGCACAACGGTGCCAAACTTTAACCGAGGCATTCTAGCCAGCCTCAACTCCTCAGCTTCAAGAGCCCGGGCAGCTTCGACTTCAGTTTGGTACAGACTGCGAGACACAAGCGGAGTGCTGACCTTTTTGGAAGATCCTTTCTTGGTAGATTTCTTTGCCTTTGCCACAGCAGGCGGAGCACCGTACAATGCTAGGTTTCGCTTTCGAGCTGCCTGTTGCTCCAGCCGCTGGTGGTGTCGATCTAGAGCTTTCTTGCGCTCTTCGTCCACCGCTTTCTCGTGCTCGTCTCGAAGTTCGTTCTCAATGCGCTTCCATGTGCTACTCATTTTGAGAAACTCCTCCAGATCCGCCTGCGACTGAAAGAAATTGACCTTTACCTTCTTGGTCGCATCCGTGTAGGTCGGCGAAAAGTAATCGTACTCGAACGTCCCACTTCGGTGGTGCCAGCCCTCATCCTGAAGCTTCGCGTACACAATCCCGAATGTGCACCTGAACTCAGGAGGCGTGAAGTTGAACTCGTCTCGCTTGCCGGTATCCAAAGTCGTGTATGAAGGAGACTTGGCTTTCCGCTTCGTCGTCGCTTTCTTCGCACTTACACTGCCGCCCGTCTTCGCTTTTTTCTTCGATGTAGAGGCCTTTAGGCTCACATTCGAAACGGAAGAAGAGAGTTTACGCTTTGCACTAGCGGTAGCTGAACCAGGTGACACGTGCTTAGCAGGTGTCACAAACGCGGTGCTTGAGTCTGAGCTTGAAACAGTCTGCTTCGAGCTCTTTATTCCTGGCGACGGGGTCTTGAATAATGACGTCTTAACTTTCTTAGGAGCAAAACTGGGTTTCCGCTGCGCTTCACGCGGAGCAAAGGCGACAACCTGATGACCCTCGGACGAGTCACCCAGCTCAATTTCCCCCACCTCCAAGGCCAAGCACTTGAGCACAGCGCGCTTCTTTGTCTGAAAGATCGTCTCGTTCGGTCGAAAGTTCTCAAACTCGGTGTTCGGTTTAACAAACCACGTCTCAGTACCACACATCATCGTAAACCATCCAAACTCTTTCTCCGCAATCGGCCACAGCAACTCCCACAGGCCTTTATCCTCTATGTCTACCTCCTTCTCCCCCGCAACTTGAATAAACTTCCAGCACGCTTTCGTCTTCGAGTCGAATACGTTAATATTCGGCTTAAAGTTGAAAAACTGCACGCCAGGCATCGCACAGAATAACGTATTTTGGCCCTGGGCGATCTGCCAGCCATCCGTCTCTACCAGCTTCGCCACAGCAGGAAACACTTTCGTGAACTGTCCTTCTGCACCGTCAGCACGAAACTCCTCAGAAACGTTGACACTCGCTATTTCGATCCCATCGTTTCCCTCATCCGATCTTCCAGCAATAGGAGGAGACTGAGTAATAACAGCCTGTAAACTCTTAGCCGACAACGATTGCACACTTGAAGATGGCGCTTGAACCTTCACCGGCAACTGAACGCAAGTCAAGGACGAACCTTTCTCCAATGTAGAGGCATCATCCTTCAGCAAAGACGTACGCTCACCATCTAGAGATCCAGCTGCTTCCGTGATCGAAAAAGTACCCATCTCAACAAGAGTCTCAGCAGACGACACATGCTCCTTCACAGAAGACTGAATTGTAACTGAGCTCATCGGCAGCTCTTCCACTTCTACTGCGTTCGTAACATCGTCCATAGACTCCGGCAATAGCACTTGTGTATACGAACAGTCCATGTCTTGGTCTACACTGCCGTCTTCACTGCAGTAGCTATCTACACATTGGTCTTCACGCTTCTCTTCCTGATCCAGCACGTCACGCAATGCTCCACGCACCGCAGGCGCTGCGTCCTTATCGCAGTACAAGGCGCCAGTCTGCACCTCCACCGAGTCCATGCCACCAATAGCACAAATACCCTTCGAGAAACGGTAGAGGCGGTACCATCCAATCGGTAGATGTCCAGCCCATCTCGCTCAGTATCCACCGAGTCCATCTACCGATACCGATTCGACCGGTACCGGTATCCGCCGGATCTTCGCTCGTCTTGCAGTGTCCTTTTTTCTCTCCTCCTAAGTACGATTGCGCACCAATCGTTTCCCTTGTCCGCATTTCCGCATCCACCGCGCGCGCAAGAGCCGTCGAGAGTGTTGGTCGTTCTCGTTTCCAGCCTTGCCGAGCCTCCATGACGGCTCCAGACGTCGGGGAACGCCCCATATCAAGCGTGCTGCACTGGGTTAAGCTGCCTACCATGCAGGACTTCTGGCCCGCCTGCGTGTACCGGAGCTACTCGGCCGCCGTCACGCACACGCACGACGTCTTGGCGCTGCGCAACGTCAAGCCCGCGCTGGACGCCGAGGACCGCGTGCTCTACTTCTTTGGTGTTGGGCCTCAAGCGTGTCACGTGGCGACACCAGGCTCGGCGCCGCAGCTGCAGCTTTGTGTGGTCCACAAAGACGACCTAATGCTGGACGATTGGACGGCGACGACGACAGAGACGAACACCGAGGAGGCCTTTCAAGCACTTTGTGACCGGTACCATGTACCAGCGGACACTGCGACCCGTGCGTGCTTTGTGCGGGCGTGTCAGGAGGCTCGAGGGTATGCGAAGGACGTGCACAACGATGAACAAGCGAGGGAGCTCTTTGTCGCACTGTTAACAGGGACGTACAAGGCAGAGAAGAAGATAGAGACGATGGGCGGGAAGGCTGACAGGAAGGTGCAGACGGACGAGAGTATTGCGGCGCTTCTTGAGACGCCGACGATGGCGGCAATTGTGGCCAAGTGCTGGCAACAGATGCTGGTGGCGGGATGGGAAACCATGGTCCAGAAAGATGGCCACGTGCTGTATAAAATGCCCGGCACGCGTTTCTTTGACGTTGTGCCGAACATCAATTTATTTGACTCGTTGGCGAAAGCCTGTGCGCGGTACTTGAGTGAATGGGTGAAGACCACGGAGATGGACGCGACGGACGGTTGTTGTTCCGAGTTGACGGAGTTTCTGTGGCCTTTGGCAGCGGCAAGCGGCTGGGAAAGCATGTCGACAACTACGGCAACGTTGTATAAGAAGGCAGACACGCCGTTTGATCAGTGGGTACCGAATGTCACGATCTTTCGCACCAAAAGTCAAGCAGTAGCAAAGTACTTGGAAGCGTGTGGACTCGTTGGGGCCAAGTGTGGAAAGATGGTCGACAAGAAGGAGAAGTTGGTCACAGTGTCACATGCTAATGACTTGGATATCGGAATCGAGGAGCTTGCACGAGAGAGCAACAAGACGCTCAGTGAGCAAGATTGCGATGTCAATGAGGAGCTTGTTGACGAAAACGAGACAACGAACAACCGAGAGCTGGACGATGACGTAGCTGCGACGAAAGCGGTGCGTCGAAAGTGTGTGGCCAAGTCTAAGAAGGCTGTTAATAGGACGCAGCCTATAATGGCTACCTCAAAGACGACAGTGAAACAGGTCAAAGCTGTCACGAATACACCGAAGGATAAAAAACCCAGCAAACCGATCCCGTCCTTTGAAATGTCCTTTGGCAAGCTGGAGAAGGAACTGAAGAACCGCGGATGGTATTGGAAAGCTGGTGGTCTGCAGTGGTTATATTACCAGCCTCACTGCAAGGCGAAAGACAAGGGTTCTCTCGAACCCAACAAAGACTTCTTTCGTGGTCGGGAGGAGCTGGAAGCATACGCCTATAGCAGCGGGCTTTATGACCTTGTTCGTACGAAGCTCAAAGAAGATCATTACAATATGTACGCGTCTGACAGTGAAGAGGACGTCGGCATTGACGACAATGGACTGAAGACCACGCAACCTGTGCAAGCTCTGGTCCATCCGCCACGTGTTACACCTAAGCCGCAGCCGAAGAAGACTTTGGTGCGACGTGACATTGACTGTGCGAAATTGTCGAGCTGGTCGTCCAGAGGAGGTCGCTCAAAGTCAACGGCTCGTGGAATGACGACTCAGACAACCCTTGCCGAAGTCAAGTTCGGCGAAATTTGGCGTGTGTTGTCCGAAGATGGCTGGCACTACTCTCCAGGCAAACTGGAGTACGACTACTTCAAACCTCACTGCGCTAGTACAAAAGACGGTACGGCAGGAGTCGACTTCTTCCAGAGTAAGGATTTGTTAGTGGAGTATTTACAAATTAGCGGACTTTGGGACAAAACGGCGGTGCGTGTTCGAGCTGAAGCAGCCATGGACTCGAGTGACGAAGGCCTGTTTGATAGCGACGACGAGACGACAACTCCGATTCAGAAGCGCAAGCGAGAGGAAAGCACGCCCGCTGTCCCACAACAAGGCAAAAAATACAAGGGCGCTTCACTCTTTTGCACTCCAACTGATGGCAGGCGAGCGACTGTTGCAAATCCAACTGTTGACGACAAAGAGATTGATAAAACTATTTCTCCTGATACTGCGGGATTGAAAGACAAAGTAGGCCAGAAAGACGTACACGGGCGTCAACCATTACGAAACCTGTCGAACAGTTTCACGCCCACATCGGATACCACAAGCAAGAAAACGCGCTCGATAAGTGCTAGCAAAAGTGTTGTGACGGAACCGGTGAAAGACGCTGGTTTTCATGACATGACCTTAAGTGCAGTTCAGAAACTGACGTCGGCGTACATCCCAACAAACTTTCGATACCGTGAGAAGGAGTTTGGTGAAATTTGCGAGTTTTTCCGAAACAGTTTCGAAGGAAAGGATCACACCAGTCTGTACGTTTCTGGGGCGCCCGGTTGTGGCAAGACCGCTTTGCTGAAGTCGACAAAGTCGGACATTGATGATCTATACTGGGTAATTCTGCGAGCTGGCTCTGTTTTCGCATGGTTACTTGATTAACTCTCTTCTCTTTTTGGTTGCAACAGGAATGCTGTCCTGAGCAAACGGACACGAAGCCCGTCTGGTGCCATGTCAACGCAATGGCACTTGCCGGCTCGTCAACGCTGTTTTGTAAGCTCGCGGAAACGCTGACGAAGAAGCCGTTTTCGAGCGGAGGTCAGGCCTTTGAGGCCATTGAACGCGCCACGACTCGCAGACTGAAGACATCCAAAACGATGTGCGTTGTTCAATTCACTTCTTGTTATGCCTGATGCTTTCGCAGGTTGTGACGCCCAAATGTTGTGTGCTCGATTAGGATCCTGATCTTGGATGAGATTGATACACTGCTGAACAACAACGGTACCGAAATCGATCTGTGCCGGCTGTTCGAGCTTGCCCACCGGGCTTCACACAGCTTCATCCTTGTTGGAATTGCCAACCAGGTTGACTTCACGGAGCGACACCTACCGATGCTCAAGCAACGGCTGCCAGACTGCTCCCCTCGAGTTGTCGTCTTTGAGCCGTACAAACACCAAGTCATCGAGCAGATCCTCACCGATCGCCTTGGTGGACAGACGGCGGCTTCCAAGCTGGTGAGCTCTCACGGTGTCTCTTTCTTGGCCCGCAAAATCGCATCAACGACTGGCGATATAAGACTAGCAGTTGACACCTGCCGCCGTGTCCTGCAACATAAGCTGGAGCAAGGTGGCAAAGAAAACTCGGAGAATCTATCAAGTGACAAAGAGCCCGGACGGCCGTTGCCGCTTACGGACATGCTGCGTATTATCAAGCACGCTTTAGAGTCCAAGAGTACTTCGGCGATTCGCTCGCTACCACGCAACTTGCAGATGATTCTATTTGCTTCAACTCGACTGCTCATCGTGACAGCTAATCGGGCCGCGGCGGACGGAAGCGAGGCCACGCCATTGTTTGGTGTGAACGAGTTGTACGCGTGCTACTGTGAGGTGAGCAAGGACGCTGGGGTATTCAAGCCGTTATCAGAGCGTGACTTCAAGACGGCGCTCGATACGCTAGGCAAGGAGGGGCTCATAGCAGAGGCAGAGCTTCGAAAACACCTGATCAAGCTGTTGTTCAGTACCAGCGAGCTGCTGCAGAGCTTCCGCCAGGACGCGTTCTTCTCGCGCCTCGTGTAATTGCTCTGCGATGGGAGTAGGTGTAGTAGTGGTAACGGATGTTGCGACCTGCACCGCTGGGGTATTCATTCGCTAACACGAGCTGAGGACAAAAGTTGTTAGCCTTGTGCTCCTGCTGCATGCTTTGCTTGCTGAAGAGTCGTGCCGAAGAGATTACTGAAAGTGACGGCATATGGTTGAAGCACGCCTGTCCACGGTTCAGCGACACAGACACAAGCAGGAGACATGTAGATACACGGATACCTGCATGCAGATCAGACGCGGGTAAAGACATGCTCACTGTATCCTCTGCTCACCTATGCTGCAAGTCGTGTCGCTCGTCGTGTCACACATCGTGCTCACCTCCAGGTGTGAGTTTCGTCGTGACATGTGCACAGTTGAAGCGGAGCAATGATCAAAATCGCGGTAAATTAGTGGGTCTATTACATATATCGGCGCTCTAACAAGACGGCAAGGTTACGATACAGCGCGTGCGGGTTATGGGCTGTGTGTGTGTCCGGCTTGGCAGGTCAGCTTGGTTCATCATTGACGCGTGCCGGGGGTGTTGTCACTTTCTGGAGTTCAATTGCTCAGCATCGAGCGAAACCAGTGCTTCAACGATGTGTGCGTGCTGGACTTGGGGATGAACATGCGCTCGCTACGCTTGCTATTATTCCGGTGTGAGTCATGGCCTGACGATGACCAGGATCGCCTCCAAGGCAACTGCGCTCCTGATCCAGACAAGTTCGACGAAGACGACTCGAAAGGGGGACCACTAGCGACTGTCAACTGCTGCTCTGACGTCCTTGACGTGAGCACGACGGGATGCACGCTGGCGTTGCGAGAAAGCAGCAGCTCGACAGTCTTGACCTGGCTCATGCGGCTGGCCTTGAGCAGAGGTGATTCGTTGCCGATTGTCACGGCATCCACGTTAGCTCCATGGTCCAGAAGACACGCAGCAACGGCGGTATTACCGCGCTGACACGCCAAATGGAGCGCCGTGCAGCCATCATGTGTGACGTCGTCCACTGGCACCTTCCCCACTTCAAGCAGCAGCTTCACGCAAGCAAGTTGGTTCTCCTGGGCAGCGATGTGCAGCGCAGTCTCACCACCAGGTCCGACAGCCGTGCACATGGCTCCTCTTGCGAGAAGAGCGTGAACCACCACCTCTTGACCACGGGCACAGGCCAAGTACAGCGGTGCAATGCCACTACCATCTTGAGCGTGCACGTCAGCACCCAGCTTGACCAGAAGCAAGACCGCCTTGGCACTATCGTTTTTCACTGCCAAATGCAACAACGAGCTCTGTGACGTCTTGTCACGCGCATCCAGCAGCAGTCGGGCATCGTACAGCTTGGCCAGACACTTGAGCAAGCGGTAGTCCGGTAACCGCACGGCGTCAAATGCACACTTGACGATGTTCTCTCTCGAAGCCACATCTTTGCCAGTGCCTAACAAGACGCGGACCAATTCCGTGTGTTCAAGTGCTGCTGCCGAGCACGCTTTTCGAAGCGACGAGCTCGAAATCAAAGGCATGTGAGTGCGATCAGTTACCTCGGCCCCCTTCTTGTAAAAAAGATGGTGCACCGGACTCATTCGCTTCTTGGCATCCACGTTTGCAAGCGTCACCAACGTGCGAATCACGTCCTCGTGTCCCTGACTCGCAGCCATCACAAGAGCATCCTCATCGACCCGAGCGCCGTAGCGCATCAAGAGCTCGACAATATCCAGTTTCCGGGTCTTGCAAGCGATGCCAAAGCACGTCCGTTGCCCCTGCTTCTGAGCGACCACGGGGTCCCCACTTCGTCTCCTATGGTGACGAATATGACTCGATAATGTCGGCTGACGAAGAGCTCCTGGCGTCAAGTAACAGCTCCCTGTTCCATTGGGATCCGCATGACGTTTGAGCAATAACTTGACAATCTTCGTGCTGCCCGTTTCACAGGCCACTTCCAATGGCGTCCGGCCACAACCACAGCTGGAATTCACGAGCTTGATCAAGTCCGCACCAAAGTAAAAGCTCAGCAAGTGCTTGAGCGCCTGCAGCTCGGCGCGCCTACAGGACGCATGGATCGGCGACGGCATGTTTTGAATCCACACATCTGTCGATCCAAAGCTCTGACAGCTGCACGGGTTGTCCCCATTGCTGCTGGCAGAGCCACTCGCGTGCTCGACCTCGTGCTCCGGCTCAGTCTGGACGAACGACACCTTCTTCTTCTTCTTCTTCAAGAGCTCGTTGTGCTTATTGTTCACCAGGTTCCCATCACTACCCCATGGGTGAGGACCACCCGTAATGGAGGAAGGCCCGATACCTGACGTTGACCGGTTGCGCAGGATACTCGAGTTCCGGGACGGGAACTCGACTGTCACTGGCTCCGGGGCCGTCCGAAACGCCTGGCGCAGTTCAATCGTCTGGTGGTCAAATGCCACGCTATTACGTTGGCGCACGAGCTCAGCTCGCTGCGGGGCATTGAGCGGCTCGTACTCCCGCATTGGCCGCAATTTCAGCTGCGAAGACGGCAGGAGATACTCGTCGGCTGACAAGAGCTGGAGTTGCATGGTGCGTGTGTGATGTTTATGTAGAGTTCTATTGGAACAAGAGGGATACTTTTTGCTGGTTTTCCAGTCCGGAAGCTGCTACGTTGCGACTCGGGGGAGTGCGTCCGACGTGGCAAATTGCAAAGTGGCAGGCAATTGGACCAGAGTGAGGGAGGTAGGGAGTGAGTGAAGTAAGCGTCCGGCCGCAACGAACAGCGCGGCGCTGTTGTATCTCGGATGGGATGTTTGCATGTTTTTGGAGCTTCGTTTCAGTACGCGCACTGAACTTGGAACGGCGACAGACCGGTGAGTGGGCTACTATGGCGAGTTGAGGCAAAAAAAGGAGCTGCACACAAGTTGATCCCTTCCTTCCTTCCTCTCTTCCTCCTTGCCTTCAATGTTGTCGCCGTGGTAGCACTACCACCTTACCGTGATCAACCCGTACGTCTGCATGTCGTACGCTGAACAATAAGCAACTACTTGTCGCATGTAAAGGCTCTGCTTTGTCTCTTCCGTGAAGCTCCAGATGGCCACCACCACTGCACACACAGCCTCGAGAGAGACGGGATCACAACTTTGAAGCACAGCGGCGCTATGCTGACCATACTGTGCGACTCGGTTTCACCCGTTGCCGCCTGTCTTTCGACCTGTAGCTGCTAAAACGACGGCGTTCTTCGAAGCGCTCGGTCGATAGGCGTCGAGTGGAGAGGGAAGGCAGGCTAGTCGGTCTAACACACCTATAGCTCTGGACTCGGATTCGAGGCGGATGGGCCAGAGAAAACTCGAACCCAAGGCTCGGGGCTTGTTCTGGCCTCAATGCAGAGAGCGAGCTGCGGCGCAACTGTTGCTGGTAAGCACTCGAGCTTACGGGACACTGGCACGAAACGGCCCGAAGTGGCACGGGGTATCATCAGTGCGACGGCTGCCGCCCAGTCGCAGAGAGAGCGAGACGATCGGCAAACTAGCACCACCACGTATCGAATCGCGACGAGTTCGATTGGTTCGGCAGGACTCGACGAGGAATCTAGTCGTCGCTTTGACCGCTTTTCGATTGTTGCGCGGCAGCTTGTCGACCATCAGTATGATTGAATGAATCGACAGCCTGGAGACCAGCGATTGTCACCGTTGATGCATGGTTGTCACAGGGAAGTCAGCAGCAGCTGCAGTGTGCTACTCAGAACCAAGGTCGCGTTTGAAATGACCGTGATACTAAGGTGAAGCACGCAGTGCAAACTAGTTACAAGTCGAGAGGTTTGTTATTGGAGATGCGATTCAGGGGCCACCGATCAAGGCTTTGAAGTTACCACGTAAGCTGAAAGCACACGTGTGCTTAAATGAAGTGACGCTGCTGACCCATGGGAGCGTGACTTGCAGTGCTGGCGAAACCGTACATGTGTTGCTGATATCCACCATCATCATCATCATCATCATCATCATCACTGTATTTGAAAATGATGAAAGTGTCATCGCTTGCTTAGGCACCCGTGTGACATCCAGCGAAGGTTGAGATGCGAAAAGCAGCTACCGATAGTATCTCATACCGTCGGGTCAGGTCAGGTCAGGTCAGTCGAGACACAGTCAAGCAAGACGTGCACCTTAACCGTGACATTACTGATGTGGACATCGCTCGTCTGCTCCGAAAGCCCCTACACTGGCGACACTTGGATCTACTATGGGTGAACTCGCCCAACGAACGGACTGTACGTTTCCGGCATCGCGCGTGCAATTGATTGATTGATTGTCTGAATAAAAAGGATCAACATCTGATGCCACTGACCGTAAATAGCCAGCGACAAAAGACCTGAAGCCGTGAGCTCGCTGACATCTTTTCGGTCAATCTCCAGTCGAAAGAGGCAGGAACGTGCTGCCAAGTGAGTGGTAAGTCTGGATCGTTTCGTTCTCTTCCCTATGCAGTATCAAAAGTCACGGACACTTGTTATTATTACAGTGGCTAGCGGGCAAAGATCGACTCCATGTGGCTTTCGTTTCGTCACTTTTGGACCTAATCGTGACGACGACTACACTCACTTTCTCCCCTTCATCGCTGGTAGCAGCAGACAAATCAGGAGCTCAGCTTAGCCTTCCATTTGCCCGTCCCCCCCCCCCGCCTAGCAACTACAACAAATCAGGAGCCTACCGCAGCCACTTTCTTCGACATTGTGGCTTCCAGGCACCTGACACCTGAATTGTGAAGCTCTTTTTTGTAGGTAAGGCATTTCCTGCCTCCATCCTGCTGATATGCAAACCTATTTTCGACTTTGCGACTATCCCTGCAATGCTCACGTCGACCTGAGTCTCGATGACGATCACATCCCGCCGCTGAGTTGAAACACCCACATCTTGCATGTCCTTTGATTGCGTACGTAAGTGATTCCAACATCGGTTTCTTGTTGGCCTTCTTCTCACCGAGTGATTCGCTCTGTCGTCACAACACGGTGACATGAGATGGGACAAAACAGTCTGCTCGTTACGTAACGAAAGGTGAATGAATATCCAGGACCTAAAAGCCCATCGCCAGCTAACACCTGCGGTCATGACAGCACCTTGAAAGCAGGGTTTGAATTTAGACCATTGAGAACTGCTACGCCATTCAACTAAGGTGACGGCAATCGATACTTTTCCCTTGACTTCTCGACACAGACGTCGAATCCAAGTGGCTCGGAACTCAGTCTCGTGGTGCTTTTGATGATACTAGATCAAAGTTCTTTGGCCAGAATCCAACCTCTTTATGGATGAAGAACAGCAACAAACGCCGACACAAGGAGCTGTGACAACTTCCTTGATAGAGGAAGATGCATGCACAAAGCCACTACTGCTATAACCACCAACAGCGTATCTTGTAGCTACATAGAGAGCTGGTGGCTCCCATAGTAACGCGACAAAGTCAAGGTCTGAGACAGTATATGCTGTACGAAAGGCGTCAAATGCGAGCTATCCAAGCAAGGGATTCTAAGGTCAATTGAGGCCTAGCCATTTCTTGCAAGCCACGAATGTATGCTTTTTGCATCTGCATTATTTACTGTAAAATGGTCAGGACAAAGGTGTCGTTGGTTAAGATGTGCATGTCATGGTCAGCTGCTACACCTTACAGCAGCATCTCGGGATGACCAAGTTACCACGTCACGAATGCGTAATGATCGATCGAGCCGAAGACACGGATTATAGGGAGTACATGCACCCGATCTACCAACGTCTGCAAATGTAAGAGGAGTAAAAGGCTGCAGAGAAGAAACCTGCAAGTGTTTTCGAGAAGAAAACACGAGCTTTCCTCATGGCTTGCATGCAAAAAGTAGGGCAAAATGCATTCAGCACGTCCCTGGAAATAGCAATGGAGAATGCGGCAGTTCAACTTCACGGTAATCCAAGTCGTCTGCGCAGTAGTTTTCAAGACTTGATAGCGCTGCATACGCATGCATCGTGGAATAGTATCGTTCTTAACTACAATGCTCGAATTGAAATGGTCCTGGGCATTACATAGGCTTCGGATTGCTGGACACGAAAAAGACGATCGATTATCCATGATGCGACGTACCATTGCGTAACACCGATACCTTTAGTGAAAGTTTGAGATGCTGCAATTGCAGGAGGCGGATCTCGTCTTCATCCTCGACAATGTCGACACATTACCCGATGACCGTCATCAACACATTTGGTTGAACGCTTTCGAGATTGTACTGCTTGTAGCAATGCTGTACACGAGAGCGGACTATGATTCATATTGGTTCAAGCCTAGCTCTGAGTCAAAAACTGCTAGAATGACCGAGCCTTGAACAGTGCATGCTTGCTCCTGGAGAAATCAAAAACAGCGTCAGTGATGTAGTACATTTGGAGTCCAAGTCCTTATGCGAAAGGAAGCTGCTCGCTTCTCGCACAATCTCTTGCGGACAAAACCCTCGAATTCGTTGAATGAGAACAAGCGCATCGTCCTGCTTGGCCATTTAGAATCGCTGCTGACTGATGGCGGTAGAACCAAGTGATGCATTGTCTAGCGGCTACCTGAGTGGAAGTCGCACCTCCGAGTTGTGTAGCTTATGAAGCATTTCAGAACGGCGCATACACGGGGCTCTCAGTCGAATGGGGAAACGAATGACCACGAGAAGACAGGTTTGCCATCCAGGGAAGTTGAAAGACACCGCTTCAATCATTGAAAGGTCTTTCGAGTTGGATCAACGCAGACACTCGAGTTGACTAAACATCACCGCCAGGCTTTTGATAGTGGTCGTAGTACAGGTAAAGACATCGATAGCATTGATGACTTCATTCGTTTCATTCTATCTTCGATCTCATGGACAAGTCACGGTAGGTTCAACGCAGGCATCATCAAGACAAACCTGGTGTTAGCGGATCAGCCAGTATGGTATGTTACCCCTAGTGTTTTTATTGGATTGCCATCAAGCAGAAGACACAGCTCTTCTAAAGTTTGTCTGCTATCGGCAAACAATGTCCACCTCCCATTCTGTTGACTGCTGTCAGAGGTACATCGATCCCTCGCACAACGCGAAACAATGTGCACGTGCTGCTTTAATCCTTTGCTCACAAACAAATCATGTACCAAGTCCTCGTACTGCTGTGACCTGGCAACCAGCACTACGTTCAACATCGTCTGTAACAGCTTAGAACTGATCCAACGGTGTCGCAAACCTGACAACAGCATAAATGTCCGACTCGTGTCTTCGATGTCTAGTACAAAGTCACATATGGTCAGTTATAACATCGAAGTGTCACGACGATGACTAAAGCTGCTCGGACTGCCTAGACCTTAGACGAACGCATAACAAGTCATCATGCCTCAGTTTTAATATCACTTCCTAGTTATCATCCAATTTGTCATCCTCAGAGGGCAGCAAAAGCCAGGTTTGTTAAACCATAACGACGTCACCCTCTTCAACCACGTTCAGCGACCGAGGAATATCAGCACTTCTCTTGCTACTAGCGAGCTGACACACAAGAGGATACAAATCAAAGCCACTGGAATGAATCGCTGGGCCCATTAGATCCGCGGTCTCTGATCCATGGTTCGCAGATTTGATCCTTTACGTACAGTCAACGCGTAAGTTTCCTGGATAATACATGCGTTGAATTACTTACGATACATGGCGATAGAGGATACAGACGACTTAGACAATGCCTGGCTCAATCCGCCAGAAGTTGACGTCATTGTACGCCTCATCAGCAAAACTGCGTGTCCGGACTAACGACGCCACTGCATCTGATACCAACCGTTCTTGGTTCGTGATCAACGATATTCCTGGAGTTGGGTTACCAACCCCCTGATGAAGTTTTTGCATAGCTAGCTGGAAACCAATTTGGGAAGTACTCGTCAATTGCATCATTGGAGAGTAGACGGGTGGAAACATCGTGTCCATCCGCTTCACGAGACTTTCATACGACTCCTGGAATCTTGTCAAAGAATGGTGTCGAAGACTTCCACTAGCAGGGTTGACGATGAACACCTTCCCTGGAAACACACCAGCTTGTGTAAGTTCAATGCTGTCCGTCTCAGTCGTCCCAAATGCCGCGTAGAACGGGTTCAAACAGCGAGGAAAGAGAGACCGCAACGCATCGAGAGCAGCTACTTTGAAATCTTGCACGTCAATTACCCCAAGGCTGGACGTAGGCAGAAGACGATCAGGTGAAAACAGTACCGGACCCGTTGGTAGTGTCATGTCCCCGTCGTCTCCAGTAGTTTTACCGAGCAGGGTGTGGAGCAAATTGACCTGCGAAAGACCGCGACAGGTGACGTAGACGACTTGATAACCGTTTTGTACCAGCTTCGTGTAAAACCCGACTGCTCCTGAATGCATTGCAGCTGGATCCTTGCGCCTGAACATGCTGCCAGTCGCAGCTCGACTTGAAATGGCTCCATCGATCTGAGCAATGACAACCTTTGTCGTAACTGGCCACAAGTACAAACTTGCTGTCACGCGAGCTATCTCATTTGTACCTCGTGATGTTAGCACAAACGCGATCTCGTTGATCCCGACACGTAACCCCATCGCCAGAAGCTCTTCTTGAGAAGGCCTCAAGCTCTTTCGAAAACATGGCTCACTACTAACACTCGCAGTGTCTTGAGTTGATGCACCATCATCACTGCAAACTTTGCCAAGCGAGTCCAAATCAATAGGTCCACGACCAAGTGCCGAGCGAGAAGTGAACGCAGACTCGATACACATATCGCCGTCGTCTTGATCCTTGGCTCTGCATGCGACACCGACTGCTTGCGATTTCGTTGATACATCGTTGTTTACAGCTGACGAAGCACCCACCAGCAAATGTTGAGAGTACGGGAACAACACTCGAGAAGCAAGGTACGCTTGCATGTCCGCATCATAGGACACCACTTTCCCGTCCACGAAAAACCGCAAGCTCGGGTCTACCAAGATACGTGCCGAGTTGGCTCGGAAAACGTCAAACGTGATCAGATGCTCGAAGAAGATACGTCGAATGTCTTCCCACTCTTTAGCTCCATCGAGTAAATGACCACAAAGAGACATGGACGGATGGTTGTAGTAGCTGCCATCTTCTCTGCCTGCTGCTTCAATATCCACGGCATCAAAGTACATTGACTCGCTCTCCCCAAGACCTGGCAACCATTTCTCCTCTTGCGCTGCATCGTCATGTTTCGACTGCACAATTGGCCGAGCATCCCTTCTCCACGTCCATTTTCGCAGACCTTGTCCAGCATCTTCTTCCAGTTCCAATCCGTTTAAATCTTCGGCAACAAACGAGTCAGTCACGTCCAGTTCAGCCGCATCTCCATTGCTGCTGGAAGGACTTGACAATGGCGAGGTGGCGTAATCGTGTTCATCTACAAGGTCGTGCACTTGGTGAACAAAATAGGCTTCTCCAGTACGATCCAGCTACAAAATGGTCATCAAGAACAAAAGCAGATGAAGGGATCCATTAAACATCACGACCACATATACCACTCCGCCATATCATGGTTCAAACTTGTCGCACGTTACCTTCATCCGGACACCGTCCACCACTTGACCATTCATTTCGAGCGTCACCAGCGGTTTCTCGTCCTGCGTGACCACTTTATTGCAAGGACCAAAGTGCACGTAGAAAGGCGAGCAGCGCAAGGAGCCATCGGCCTGTTGCACAGCCACGACGTCGATCGCACCAGAGCTCGAATCCGGCTGGAACACGTGGCTCACGTAATCTTTTACCGAGTAGATCACGTTCATCTTGGAACGTTGCGACTCAAAAGGTCGTAAGAGATTGAGGAATTGATCGAGTGTGGCACTGACCTGGTCAATTGAGGAATGGCAAAGCGTTGCTAGGACTTTTCGAGGCACTTTTTTTAGTGCTTGAAGTGGACTGACTGACTATCCGGCTGTGGCCTCTTTTTCCTTGAACGTCGTGCCTTTTTTGGCTCGATCATCTGTCGTCGTGGCCTTGTGCAGTGCGTAGAAACTGGGACTTGAGACTGGCAAGTCGTGGAGACTCGTCGCAAAAGGGACGGAACGTCACGGTTCAGTTGCGATGACGAGCTCAAGTACGAGTCGAGGTTGTCATCCTGCAAGCAAGTGGAACGAGCTTGGCCTGCCTGGTCCCTTAGCTTCTGGTCTCGCGAGAAAACACACACACAACAGCGCCATGTTCAACGTCAAGTGCTTTTGAGCTTCAAGGCCCGACGTCATCGCTTGTGGGACGTCGACGAGTTTGATTCGTACGGGCACAAAAGGCAGCAAGCGATGAGAGCGTCAGTGTCATGCATTGTGGAGAGGAAGGAGGAAGGATCGATCGCTCGACGGAGTTGTCGGTTATGACGTGTTCTGCACGAGACGAAAGCGTGTGGAGAGGATGGAGGGGAGGGGATGGCATCACGAATTGATCTGCACTGACACGACGTCAAGGGAGGTGTGGGGCAGCACTGGAATCCGAGTGATTCGTTCACGAGGTGACTATTCCATCTGGACGACCGTCTTTCTGTCTGATGTGCTGCTGTCCGGCCGTGAACGAGGCGACAGAAGCGAGCATGTCTCGTAGTTGTGACGGAAGTAACAGCCATTGAGTGGGTGACAATCGACGTGCACGGTAGATAGGCGATCGAACAGATGGAGCGGTGCAATGACGTCGTGCGCATGGTCTCCGATACCAGGTCCGCACTAGCAATCGATCCAAACATCTGAGCACATTCTGCATACACGCAGAACTGATGATGCATAACGGGTAACGTGAATCTCCGTAGAGACATCTGCAGACTCTCTCCTCGCTTCCAGTTCTCACGAGATTCAATTGATCAAGCAAGAACTGTCAATAGATTCAATTGATCAAGGAGTGGACGACTCTCTTGCTGGACCTCGCGATTGTCTGTAGAACCGAAACCGCTCGGGCCTCTCGTCGAGTGAAGCTACGTGTACGTAGCGTCCGCAAGAATCGGACTTCTCTCACGACCTGTGCCTCCTCATACGTACGTCCTTCACACGGGGTCCTTCATCTCGGCGAGTCCACGTCGTTCGTCCTCCAATTCGAGCATACTTTGCGACCTCGTCTCCTGCACGTTCTTCGCATGGTCGTAACAACGTTCGAGCAGCTTTAGATCCGGTGGGGGCACGCTCGACTCGACACGTCCCCAAGTTGTGGCTTTCACCGGTACTAACTCAAAGCTCAAGGCGTGTTCACGAAGACTGACGTCGACTACCAAGCCATCGTCACGCACGCCAATGTACCGGCGGTGCTGGTTCATACTATTCAAGTGGCCCCCACTACCCACTGAGTACTCCCATCGCATCCCGGACGTCCCTCGTAGACAATTTGCCTTTTTCATGCGCAAGTCACGGAAGCACGAGAACGTCGAGCGACTAAAGAGGTAGCGACCCGACTCTTCATGGAAGAACGACACTTTCACGCAATTGTACGCCTTCGAGTAGCACTCGAGTCGAAACGTGGTACGGTCTCCGGTATCAACCTCCGTAAAGTGAGACGCAAGTTCGACGTGGCAGCCATCTTCCCTGATTCGAAGGTACTTGTCATCCTTAACCCGAAGAAAGACAGTAGATCCAGATAGTTTGAGCACATTGTTCGCAAGTATCCGCGAGACTTCTTTGATCGCTTGGATCTCCTGTTCGAGCGCATCCACGTCTTCTTTTGCCAGTCGTTTCTCAAAAGGGACGCGGCCACCCGCCTTGGTCAGTAGCTGCTTTGACCACTGGTAACCCGTCTTGCACCAATGAGCAGCATGTTCACAGTTTTGTGTAAAGATGTTAAAGTCGCCTTTGCCAAGGCCTAGTAGGAACTTGCATCGGGCTAGCACCACTTCCGGGAGATCCGATTTCCCACGATGTACTTCGCCCCATTTCGAGCAAAAGTCTCGGAAGGCTGAGGTGTGATGCTCTACAAGTCGGAGGTCGTGGACGCTTCGGTTGTAGAGGAACTCTTCGAGTGTCGAGATGCGGAAACACGAGTCTGCTTGAGCTTCTCGGTAGCTCTGTAAAGGACTCCAGACGTGACAGACACGGATATCGACGACGTGGTCGCTTGCAGCCCAAATGATCCCGTGGTGCTGGTACGAAAACGGCCATCGACTGTAGTCCCAGATGCAAATGTGATCCCCTGGTCGCAACGACGAGAGCCTGTGCACTCGCGTGTACACTCCACCCATGAGAAAAGGATGCGAGATCGAGGTAGCGGGTTTCTTCAGGTTGGGTGGATGGATCCGTCTCTGTAGTTTCCAGTCGTCTCTCGGGACAGGGCGAACGAAGGATGAAAGGATCCTCAAGTGCCTGTCGCAACTACGAGGACCAGAGGTCGGCGGTTGGTGTGCGAGAAACAGATCAGGAGCATTTCAAGAGACACGGAAGTTTGTGCTGGCAATTAGAGAGATGGTGGAAGGAGAGAGAACGGAACGATGAACGGATGAGGAAGGCAGGCGGTGAAGATGAAGGACAGTACGAGTATTGAAATGGAGAAGGCAGTGCAAGTGATGAGGTAGTGTACACTCACTTGTGTGTTGATTTCCTTGAATTGGGCACGATAGTAGGGACTTGAACTCTGTGCGGGTATGTATGTTCGTAAGGGTGGACCGATCGAGAACACCTGGACAGGCTCGAAGTTGTAGTGGTTGAGTTGAGGTTTTCATCGATGCTGGTGCGAGAAAGTGTCAAAGCTCTTTTGGTTTTAGACGAGATCGAGGAAGTGGTAACACCGTCACGGTTGTCGATGGCAGAATAATAAATTAAAGTACGATACAAGTTCATACGCCACTGATCGTCGCTGTCTCTATCATTTTCAGGATGCAAATTCTTCCAGCCAAAGAGAAGGCACTTCGTAATGTTTTGCCACACTCGTAGGCATACTCATGTCATGAAGGGATCGAAAAGTGTCAGCATGCTGAACAACGAGCTACTGAAACATCAAAGTCCTGTCGTCTTTGTACACTTGCGTGTTGAAATGCCTTGCGAGCATCAGCAATTTTCGCTGGAAACGCTATCCAGAACAGCGTGCGAACGATGACTTCCACATGAACTGCTTGCTTCGTTTACTGCAAACTAGCACTGCATTGCTGCTCCGATCGTGCCAGTCTTTTCCTCACGGCCATCTTGATGTCTAGTCTCGGTACGAAATGCGCATTCTCTACGAATCGTGCTCAGTTTGCACACTTCCATCGTGGCGTCAGCGTCTGTTACACCAACGCTTGCCACGCCACTGTGCAGCGTATTCACATGTTACGATTAGCATCGAGTTGCAATTGCTGCGATCGTAACCCAACGCGATCTGCAAGCTTCATCGAGATCACAATGACTGCACTTGACCATCGGAGAGAATCATTGTCTGCCACTGACTGCTTTAGTGTCGATGTATAACAGTGGATCCTGTCGTTAATCTTCCAAAGAAAAGCTCAAAGCTTGATCGTAACGCTCGATCCAATCGCAGGATAATTAAATAATGACGGTACATTGGACACGAACACATGCGTAAAGAGTTACTTGTCCGCGGTTTTAGATGCAGCATCAATCAAAGCGAGATACTTTGTGTAGTTGATCGGAGTATCGGGTCGATCGCGTCGTCACGAAATTGTTCAGCGTCAATCTTGACACCATACTCAGCAGCAATGAAGAGCATGCGTAACACTCCCGAACGATTACTCCGTGTGCCTCGATGCTACTGAATTGTTCATGATGAATGAAGACACCGAACAAAAATTTCATCGAAGCAATGGAGGCACCCCAACTTTGTGCGAGACGTGTCACGGCTGCTTGAATGCAGACGGATGCCTAGTTGCATACGTGGTTGTCAAATGTACAGCATCCAGTATTGCTGCATGCCAAGTCAAGCAAGCGTGTGCCCGTCACCATCCAATCTGGAAGTGTATCGCAGCTCAAAGCTTCTCTCTCACTTACACCCGACTCGTAATCGCGCTTGTGTTCGTGAGTCCACGTGAAATCCGCTTCAAAGTGCGGGTGGGATGCTGCATCATTTCCATGCGTCACGGCGTATTCGGACGTGTTCAATAAATAAGTGACGCTTATGAACGTTCAGTCCATCCATCATGCCGACTCAAACAAGGGCATCGCTGTCAATTCTGTCGCTCGTGCTGTCGTCACGGCCGTCAGAGAAGATGTGGGCGACAACTTATAGAGCTCCGCCGCATTGTAGTCCCGCATGCTCTGTGACTCGGTATACTGCACCGACTTTTCGTGATTGTACGTGCGCGTGACCTGGTGAATATCCGGCGGCGTGTACGCTTCAGCAGGTCCTTCACAAGCAACAAATTCCACACGGGCCGCATCTCCACGCATGCTCACATCCAGCAGCAAGCCATCCTTCCTTGCACCCACATATCGTCGATGCTGACTCATACTCCGGAGATATCCAAGCGTCGAGTACTCCCACGTCAGACCTGACTTGCCTCGCACCGTCATTGGTTTTTTCATCCTCAAGTCCCGAAAACAACTAAACGTGGAGCGACTAAACATGTAGCACCCTGATTCTTCGTGGAAAAAGCGCACCCGAATGCTATTGTACCCTCTGGCATAACACTCGAGTCGAAAAGCTGTGCGTCCACACGTCGTCGGGTCAGTCCCTTGCGGCACAATGCCAACTTTTCCATCTGCCTGTACCTGCACGTAGTGACGGCCTTTCACTCGTAAAAACACGCTGGAACCCGAGAGTTTGAGCACGTTACTAACAACCGAGCGGGAGCTGGCTTTAATCTCCTCCACTTCCGTCACCAGTGCATCCACGTCTTCCTTCAAAAGCCTTTTCTCAAAAGGCACGCGTCCTCGAACCTTCGTCAACGTCTGTTTGCACCACTGCTCACCAGTCATGCACCAATGAGCTGCATGCTCACAGTTCTGCGTGAACAAGTTAAAGTCTCCTCGACCAAGGCCGAGCAAAAACTTGCATCGAGCTAGCACCACTTCCGGCAGATCCGCTTTCCTCAAATGCACTTCTCCCCGTCTCGACAGCACCTCCCGTAATCCGGACGTGTGGTACTCAATCAGACGAAGGTGTCGTTGCTTCCGCTTGTCCAGGAACTCCTCGAGCGTCGAAATGCGAAAGCACGAGTCCGCTTGAGCTTCTTGAAACCCTTCCAGGGGACTCCAGACGTGGCACACGCGAATATCACTAGCAGTTAAGCCGGATGCCCAGACGATGCCGTGGTGTTGGTACGAAAGCGGCCAGCGACTGTAGTCCCAGATACACACGTGATCGCCAGGTCGTAAGGAGGCAACGTTAAGGACGCGCGTATACACGCCGCCCATAGATGAGGACGTTGGCTGGGATGGTTAGTAAACTAGAGACTTTTTTTGCCTGGTGTTATCGTTATAGTTGTTGTTGTTGTTATAGTTGCGACTTGTTCGTAACGTTCGGGTTACTTGTCGATTTTGTGGTGGAAATGGGACGTGCAGCGAAATGAAAGAGTGGGTGGCCACTCGTCCCTTGGTTAGTGAGAGGTCCACGGAGTTGAAACGGCGCTGTGGACTTAACTGGTCCAAAGCTAAAGTGAGGGTTTGTGGGAGAAGGAGCACTTGTCGAGCATTGTGCACAAAAAAAGAACTGGCTGAGAGAGAGAGAGAGAGAGAGAGAGAGGGGGGGGGGAGGGAATCTGGAACGAACTTGACGAAACGGTCAGTCGCATTGACAGCTGTCGGAGCTGTGCTGGTCGTGGTTTTTCTACTGAATTGTGTCAATAGTTTCGATAATGACGGGAGTTTTGTATGGACAGGGACAAATTGAACCTTCGATCTCGTTCTTCCAGAGCGAATCCTGCGAGTGAAAAGAAGCGAGAAAGAACCGCTGACACGAAGGTAAGTGTGAGTGTGTGTGTGTGTTGTGTTTTCTGCAACTTCTTTGCTCTGAATCGTCCGCTTACTTGTACACGAACGTGTTTCACAGAGCTGGAAGATGCGCGATTGTTTTGGTGACGAGGACCATGTCAATAGGTGTGGTGGTTGTGAAACATCAACAGTGTCAACACCATCTCGAGAGGCATTAACCATCTGGGGTCATATCGGACAGACGCCCGTAGGAGAAACAGACGATGGATCCATGTCGTAACGGTGCGTGATCCCGATCCCGCTTGCGTCGGTCTTGATGTCCTCTTACTGGAATACCTACCTACTATCAAGCAGTCACTACTGCCTGTATTGCCATGTCATAAGCTACCTCTCTCACCTTCGCGCGACCTTTTCATGACGTGACACTGAGTTGTCACGTTAACTGAATCCTCGGGACGCACGTCAATTGAGCCGAATATTTCGAATATCGTCCTGATGTTCGTGTGGTCGCCATGTGATATTTGTGTACACCACACCACGCGACACGACACGACACGAAGCGTAACCCTTTCTTGTCGCCCGTAACACTAACTAACTCATAAGTACCATGCCGGCGTATCACTCGACGCTAAACGAGCTGCAGACGCAGGAGGCGTGCGGCTGTGCCATTCTTCCCATCAAGACACGCGCACGTGGACCTGCTCCGCCTGCACCGGAGGATCAGGACGATATCGTGGACGAAGTCCTCACGCTCTTCCGCGCGAACGTGCTGTTTACGAACTTTGAGATTAAGGGGAATGCCGACCGCGTGCTCATTTACGGGACGCTATTCGTGCACTTGTGTCTCAAGAAACTGGACCGGTGCAGTCAAAAGACCGAGGGTACGGCTCTTTATTTTTGTCGTGGTTTGGTGTATCGAACACAAACAATGTATAGGAATAAGATTACTTCCAAGAGGGAATTACTAATCATTCGACTGACTTTTCTGGCACTTGTTTAGCTGCGCGGATCTTGCAGCAGGCGGCAGTTGACACGTTTGCGATCCCTGGCGACTCAAGTTTTCCACTGGGTGGACTCGTGCGCGCGCCGTCGAGTGCGAATGAAGCTGGTACGATGCGATGGGAAGAGATGTATCGGATTGTAAAGGGATGTCGGTTGAGACGCATTCGTCCCTCTATCGAGTGTTAACGCTAATGAGAATGATGTGGATGATGATGATGATGGTGGTGGTATGATAGAAACGATTCGGGGGTTTCTAAAGCAGTTCCGTGAAGCCATTGCCGCTCGTCTCGTGGATGAGGTTTTTCCTAACGGAGAGAAGAGCAAGTGGTGGATGCTGTTTGCTAAGCGAAAATTCATGAACAAGGAGCTGCTGCGTTAACGAATGCGTGCGATGGCACTGCTGCTGGGTTATCCGATTTACATGGTCCACGCACAAGGACAGAGCCAAGATCGGATAAAGGGTCTCGTGTTCACATGACATATCTCAACAGCCAGCAGAGACTTTGCACGAGGTTTTGATTCCCGCCATGTTGAGGCCATCAAGACGTTAAAGAAATCCATGCAGCATTGTCAGCTGTCGATGTGAATTGCGTCGTCTCTTTTGTCACGTCCATATCGTCTTCTCTCTCTCCGTCTCTCTCTTGCTCTCTCTCTCTCTTTTTCCATTCTCTGCTCACGCAAACACCGCCGCCATCTCGGAAAAGCTTTCGTCCAGCAGCACATAGTTCTTGAGCCACGCACTGGCCGGCGCAACCTGCTGCAGCTGTACAATGTACTGCTGCGTACTCTTGTTCAAGTGAGCACTCACCGCAATCAAGTTGATCAGCGTGTCCTCATTGCCCGGCTCTTTCGCCACTGCTTCCAGCAGCAGCCGCTCAGCTTCCACATAATTCGACAAGGCCATAAACGCCGTCGCCGCGCCATTCAGCAGCAACGACGTCGAGCCAAAGCGGTCAGCGAGTTCCTGGAAATGCAGCGTGGCTTCATCAGCCTTGTCGCCGCCTTGCAGCGTAAGGCACCACGCTTGGGCGAGCTGCGTCAGCGTCGAGTCTTCTTCAATCCGCTGCATCTCCTCCACTGTCTTGGTAGCCAGATCCAGTCGGTGCATCTGCAGATACAAGTGCACCACATAAAGCAAATGCTCGAGGGATCCCCCTCTCAAGAGCGTTGAAAGGGCGTCCGAGAGCTTGTTCTCCAGGGCGTAGATCTGTCCAGCCAGGAGCAACAGGTGCGGGTTCTCGCCACTTCGAGGATCTTCAAGCCACGTCTTGAGCGTCAAGTCCAGCATTTCCTTGTCCTGGTGGCCACTCAAGTACATGGCCCAGAGCTTGACGGCATTTAGACCAATGGGCGTCTCGGATCCAGGATCGGGGATACTCTGGAGGACGAGCGAGACGTTCCCTAGCGCCAAGTGCGCGCGGTAGACGTACACGTCGCGCTCGTTGCGGAGGGATTGGCTCAGGTGGTTCAGGAGCGTGCCTTCGCTGAGGACGTTCGCGTAGTTGCCGACCCAGAGCTGGTTCTTGAGGGTGAAGAGCTCGTCGGGTTCGGCCATGATGGGGGAGTGAGGAGGCGGATTTGGGAGGGCGTTGTTTTTAGTCGAGTGAAGAGATTGAGGTGGGAGTGGGTGAGTGGGTGGGTGTTATGACACGGGGGGGGTAGCTTTTGGGTGTTTTGTAAATTGAGTAAAAGGGGATGTGCTGTGGACGAAGTTGAGCATATTTCTGAGTTAGTTTGAATTTATTCTGAGAATTTTTTCAGAACAACCCGGCCGAGTAAAAAGCGAACCTAGCCGTTTAGCATTTGCTATAAATGCTAAACGGCTGGGTTCGTTTTTATTGCTGTTATGTTTGGGTGAGGAAGTGATCAGTTTTTCGTATCGATGGAAGTCGGACGAAGGTTGCGTGCAGTTTGTCATTTGTGGTGAATTGAAATGTGCGATGAATTTGTCCTGCGATCGGGCGTTTCTATAGGGGTGGGGGGGGTGTTTTGCTATTGAGTGTTTCTATTTCGAGTGTTTTGTCAAGATTTCGACGTTACATTCCTTTGTTGATTGATGAATTCTTCGCTCATACTTCGCTCATAATTTTTAGCGCAAAAATTTGCTTTGTTCTAGGATATACCGTGTATTCACGAATTAAGCAATGAATTTTGCCAACGAAAACGCTGCTCAGAGCTGAGAGAGAGCCAAAGTGCTACAACGTCTTGTCCCAATTAAATACCATTCCGTCCAAAGCACTTTCCATTGACACGACCGAACAAACTTGTAGATGAACAATGTCAAGAAACCACGGCAATCCAAACATGGTGCCTAAAAGACAAGCAAACATTTGGCATGAGCTGCTGTTGCTTGAAGTTTGTATCAAACAATTCTGCCACAAGGCTTGTTGTACCGGGTCGATGCTAAGGAGACACGTTTCTGCAGCTCGTTGACCAATAGTGTATGTAAATCCTTATCTCATTGAATTTCATGGCGAGATCTCTTGATTCGATGCCAAGCGACGACACTAGTGATTGTTATAGAGCTTTTGTAACAGCGTGAGACCTGCTCTGCCTCCCTGCAATCAAAGCCACCGAGCCATGCAAACGATACGACGAGGGTGATGGACACAAACGGGTAATCTTCTACTGCGTGGTCAGATGAGCACACGATTAACTGTATAAAATACAAGAGAGAAGCTCGTTAGACCAGAAAGGCATTGCAACGCACATCAAACAAACAGGATCTTCTCGTACACTCTCAATCTAAAACGAGGTATCATTGGCGACGCAACTCGTTCGTGAAGTGAACCAGGTCCTTTCTTTCGTATCGCAAGCCATTTCTACATGTGCACAAGGACCACAAGAAAGATGGTCACGGGTCTGTTCTGTGCAACATGCGGGTGGTGTTGCGCTGCTGTCAAGTATCTTGCTGTATACTTCGGGCGTCTGTAATCACGCGCCAGCCTTAATCTTTCCAGCTTCACCGGACTCTGTTTAAGTCTGTTGGTGGAAAACGATGTTCAACCCTCGCAGTAAATATGTCGTAGCTACGGAATGATCGAGTTGGTTTTACGGAGCAGCGTAGTGAAGAATTGTGGATGCTACAAAATGTATAATACACGAATGCAATCAAGAGACGAATGAGATGGTCAGCTTGTAGGTAGACTATGCTGAAGACGTGAATTCGAGTCAGCTATTGTCTGTACTGAAGACCATGTAGGATCATGCAATTTGCTAGTAAGGTCTCAATGTACAAACGTTGAGTTCATCAGCACTGACGTTATTTTATCAGTGTACGTAACTGATTGATCGACCTACTCGACACGAACGTTCGTCGATACTGACAACGTCACACAGCATCAAGGAGGTCATCATTAAACGCTTGACTTTTGTTCGGTGTCTGTGTCAGATGTGTAGCTGCAGTACACCTGCCTTCTACACTTCCTCTACCTCTCTTTTGGTCAGGCTTCCCTTAAAGTTGACTTGTTCCATTCACAAAGAGCTTAAGAGTTCGGAAGTCTATAGTTCCATCCTGAAAGCTGCGTCTACTAACCTGCTTGTCAGTTGTACTTTTAACGAGATGTTTGCATCCTAGATATCGAGAATCAGACGCGATCGTAGGCCGCCGCTTCAAACCGCTGAGAGGAGCGCCATTATCATTTATCTAATGCCAGAATATGTCGACATGCTTCGCCATTGGGTGACAAGTTTGTGGAAACGATAGGACGAGCACTTCAGATTCGAGGAGATGTTGATCATTTGACGCACGAAACAGACAAATTAAACGCTAAAGCCCCAGGAGAACCTCCTCGGTCAGCTATACCATTCCGCATCCTCTTTCTGACCTTTAACATTGCAGTCCAAGGAGGCAGCTGCCCTCGCAGCAGTCGCACAGTCCACCTCGAGAACCTGACATCCCTATCCAAGTGAGTGTACACCTTCTGGCTGCGCAAAGTCCACGCAAATGTACATCCTTCATACCAGGTCATGGATGGATTTTCCACCCATTTGCAAGTCACAAGGTCAAAGCAAATTGTTTGCATCGTTGACGTCAATGTCGATACTCGGATCCAAGTATAACCTTACTTTTCATCCTCAAGTCCTACAGTCCACCTACTTCAACATCGCTCCACCGACTCGGAGGTCCTCAATAATGCATTTCATCCAATCACACGGCGGTACCACACAACAACAGCGACAAGAAAGAAGAAAAGAAAAAAACATCAATAAAATACGGCGGTTACCGATATAAAATACCATGGACCGCCTCGGGCACGCGCGGGTGGTTCAAGTGGGCGAAGTCGTGACAAGTCGTCGCTATGTACTGCTCACTGTCGCAGCCACCGGCATCGCGGCAGCCAGTGCCGCCCAGCGTCTACACCCCTTCTCTTCCGCTGATTCCGTGCTATCCATGTCCAAGCTCTTTGCCGAGGAGCTCATGAGCTCCCGCGTAAACGTCCTGGTACGTGTAGATGACCATCACTCTGCGTTTTGTGTTTTTTTCTTCTTTTCCCCTACCCCTCTGTGTATTTTGAAAAACCTCAGTTTTTGTACCCATTGTCTGATGATAAATTACTTACCATCTTGATCCATTTGCCGATAGATTGTGCTGCATTTTGTTCTAGTGGTCCTGTACTATGCTTTTCTACTGCTGGCACGCACTGCATTGGGGACTTTGCAGCCAATGGAGTTACAGCAGACCAAAGAAACGCTCGTACCGTTCGTGTTGCTGCGGTGTCAGCTGCTCTTGAGCACCATGGAGTTCACAGCTCCAGGACGAGGCACAGAGATTGGACTGCTTGTGTCTTGGCTTGCAGTGCTGGTTGTGCTGCGAGCACTACTGGCTCTGACTCAAGTTCGGTTCCAGCATTTGCTGACGAGACCCTTGACTCAAGTGCGGGACTTGCAACGACTAGGAGCAGTGCTGGGCCTTGTGATCGTGCTCGATCTGGGACTCCTTGCTGTGTGCATGCGGTTTGGTCTCTTTCGGGAGAAAATTATGTACGTGCCGTGGTTCGAGGCGTCGCTGATGCTGCTTAGGACGCTGGAGCTTGGCTTACAGGTCAGCTTTCATAGTCTGGATGTCGGTGGAGTTGCTCTGTTTGCCGACGACGGGGTCACGACCTCAGGATGGTGGGAGAATAGTGAGTTTTACTTGCTGCTTCTGCAGACTGTGCTGTGTGGATGCTACTTGATGCAGCTGGTGTCGTACTATTTGTATGTCATCAGCGCGGACCAGTTCCGCGTCAGTCTCTTTGATCTTGTCCTGGTGTTGAATGTCAAGAACGCTACTGTGCGACTGCTTGAAAAGGTGAGGCATGTGAAGCTGTACCACCAAGTGGTACTGGATCTGGATCAGCTTTTTCCAGACGCCACAGCGGAGGAGCTCGATAGCGTTGCCGACGATGTATGTGCTATCTGTTTGAAATCGATGTCTTCGCGTGCCAAGAAGCTGGATTGTGGCCATCTTTTCCACCGCCTGTGTCTTCGTCAGTGTCTGCAAAAAGCATCCGAAAGCGACTCTCTTGTCGGTCTGAACCCGTTGACGCATATGTTGAACGGACTGGGGATGGAGAGTCCGTTTCCGCAAGTTGCCGGAACGACTCCAACGGGCTCTCCTTTGATGCGCTGTCCCATTTGCCGGAAACAAGTATGTGGGGGAAAGGGTGATGAGGTGACCTGCAGCCGACCGGTAGAATCTACCCGCCAGCTCGACGGTGAAGCAGTAGAGCTGCGAGAAAATGGACAGCCACAGCACGAACTTGCCACTGCGGACACTATTCGAGATGAAGCGCATGTTCATGCAGCTGTAGGCGATAACGGAGGAGCACCCGAAGAAGTGATTCGCTTCAGCAGTACGTTGACACGGCTACCCTTTTGTACGCATCTGTCATGGCTGACCTTGTTTTGCTCGTTGATGTAGCGGCGTTTCTGTCCCGATGGGTGCCATTTCCCAATTTCTCGTTCGAGATAGTCCGTCATCGCAACATTGAACCAACAAATGAGATGTTGCAGCAAATCTGGGAGGTTTTTCCCCAGTACACTCTGGAGGAGATTCGTGCCGATGTTACTCAAACGCGGTCAGTCGAACGCACTATGGAACGCATTCTTCATGGACGGTTGGATGAGCAACGGGTTGCGATGGAACAGCAAAACACTGATCGTGCTGATATGGGCGCCAACGGAGTGTTTGGTGGCACGATTGTCGATTAGAGGACGTGCATTTGTGGTGGACTGTTTCTGTGCTGGTGTCGGCGTTATAGACGCCGTTCTGATATCAGTGCTACTACCAGCTTTCGCTTCGGTGGAAGTAGTTTCAGCGGCAGCTCACGAAGATAGCACCTGTATGCTTTGTCGCTGATGAATATTTCGTGGGGAGCAAGGATGCTAATGTGCGGTCGCACCGTGATATGGCCGGAGAACTTCTGTCACTTCATTTTTTCGGTCCACATTTGGGTCATCACCGAACCACCTCCACCGTTTTGATGTACTGCGTATACTTTGTCTTAATTGGGTCTACCGAACATCTCAGCATGGAATCGAGCGTGGTACAGTCGGCTGAAGTTCTATGATTGAGACCTGCGGCAAGCTGAAACTTGACCGGAGAAGATGAACGAATAGGTCGCAGACGGGGTTGAAGCCACGATGGTTTTTGTTAGTAACCGATACGCGTAAATGGTGGTCTTCACTTTTATTTGGGTGCTGGGAGGTAGTTGGTAATGGACGCGTCCTGGTAACGTCATGGACTCAAGTCACGAAAGTTCTCGGTGGATCAAGCACAATCAGCTCCAAAGCAGAAATGGCCGAACCATTAGTATATGATGACTGGCTTTGAGGGAACTTATCGTGGACGAGCGCTTGGTGCCTCTATAAGCATCCGTTGGATAGTCATGGGATCTGTTTATGGACAAGCAGGCCATGGCAGCCATGGTCTATGCGCTTTGCTGTCTAACGTTGATGTATGCTGGATACGTTCATTGCCCACGAACGCCAATCTTTGTCTGTGTGGATGGCTACGCTACGATCAGAGTTGATGGGACATCCGTGTCCTTGATGATGTGTGCATTTGGCAAACACGATTGCGTCGTAGCATTCTGTACCACCCTTTGACCATGGGTATGCTGAGATGATGATGAGATGCTACTTACAACCTTACTGCCCTACATTACAACCAGTTGCGTGTTGCGGTCAACTCGCAGGTATGCTGAGAACTGTAACTTGATGTGTCTCCTCAACACTTCTTGCTCCAGACAATTATGGCAGTCCGCAGCTTGTCCATGAACAGTCTATTCGTCGGAAGAAAGATGAAGTTGCTGCTCATTAACCTGTAACATTAACCGGTACGCTTTCTCTGCTACTCAAGGTCCGTATCTCCTTCATTCCTGCAAAGTTTTCTGTTTCCTCGCAGATTCTATCTGCGTATAACATGTACTACTTGACATACATATAAGGAACGCCGTCTTGCATTCATCGTGTAAGTGAAAGAGTGCACTTCGTTTCGTAAACGGTTCATATAGTATGGCCTCCTGCAGATCAAGCACATTGATCAAGTTTGTCACGCAGCCAGAGTCTTTACTCTCTTTGTGAAGGTCATTTCGTGACGAAAACCTAAACCATACTTTTAGTCATGGTCTGACGTTAGTGTGAGTACTTGATGGCCAAGTGGAAAGCATCATCGACAGCTGCCCCCGAAGACGAGCGCCAATGGATGTGAAAATTGCGCAATCGTTCTTGAAGGTTGTAAGGATGGCAGTTAATCTACGACCTCAATTGCTGAAGACAAGTATAAACCTGACTACAAGTGAGTTGCTGCACGGATACAAAGGTGACGTGGTAAGTGGTACAAGGTATAGAGGACAGGAAAGCCGCGACACGACCTACCAGTGTCGAGTGGAACACCCACAGTGTCCGAATGAATCCGACAGAGCTCGTTATGAACGCCCTTATGCGTCCGTCCATGCAGTGGTTGCGAATGCAATTGAAATGAACTGCACGAGAACAAAGAGTGCAGGTGGTAGGCGACGGACGCGCATCGGGTAACACAAATGTCGATCACATTTTCCAGTTCTACAGCACTCCTAGAGTAATTTAGCAGCACAGGCTGCAACAAAGCACCACTTGATTTGCACCTACGATTCTGGATCCAATCGAAAGTCTGGCAGCATTCTGCCCATTTATTGACCACCGGCTTCGTTGGTAACGGAGTCATGACGGTTGCGGAACTTAAAACGGGACCACCTCAGGAAACGAGACGAGCCAGAAAGAGTTGTACGGTTGACGGTTTTCTCCCTGACTAGATCCAGGAGACGAAAGAGCGTCTGGATCGGTTTCTTGGATGGGAAAACCGACTCGTCGTGCTCTTGTTGTTAGACATCCGACAGAGTGCCAAGTGTTTGCTGTAAACTGCAATAGCACCAACGTCATGGCATCCCGATCCTGATCAAGCTACTAGATCTGCGATACTACCATGAGCGAGTTCTGTACATTGCCCGGCACAACTAGGCATAAATCAACGTTACCGTCCGATCGATTCTTGGCATGCAGCTATATGGATGCATCACGATCCAGGAGAGATACCACGAAATCTTAATCGAAGTTGGTGCTGATGACTTCGTTCGGATTGAGGCCTCGCTTTTTTGTACTAGATCCTCCGCATGAACGAAGCTACATGCGATATCCATTTTTGTCTTGAATACTCGAACTGAGCGCGGTAAGACGCGGTCACAAAATCTGCACGGTAAGCGCCTCTAGCACATTATACTTTGGCTGACTGGCACTAGTGTCGAGCTATGGATCGGTTGAAGTACAATAAGGAATCGCAATGGTGACATTTACGTGCGCATGTGTGACATGTTCGGGGCTGCAGTGTTCCACAAATGTGGACGAGACATGCGTTCCTGGAAAATGCGCGGCCGTACAAACCGCGATCGTGCATCTAAGCGCTGCACATATGATACGCGCTTGCAGTTTGTATGGCCAGATCGGTTCGTGGCTAACTTGACATGCCAGAATCCATCCAGGCCCACGCTCATTCTTGACTTGAGCAGTATCAATCACTTTGCTTGACACCAGTGATCGAAGACAGAAATTTGGAAACGACTTATCCACGTTCAACAAGATCCACTCGCTTGATCAAACGGCAGCCAGAAGGATGTCAGACTCGGATGTACCGCACGCCATGATCAATGATCAAGCCGTACTTGACTTGAGGTGAGTAGAGGGGGCCTCGAAACGAGGTAGTGCACAGTCGATGGGCGGTAAAAGGAGAAGATGTCAGGATCGGCGTCGAGCGTGTTGTGACAATTTGTCAGTCTACTGCGAAAGCTGTACCTAAAAGATGGACATTGAACAAGCACGAAACAAGTCGTCGACTTGATGCCGACCAGAAAGCAAGAGCAGTTTCACTCGTGGACATACTTGCAGCTTTGACTTGACACTAGCTTTTTTAGTGATAACGCAGAGAGAGGGAGCGAGCGAGCGAGCGTGAAAGAAAGAGCAGACCACGGTCTACCGTCGTGTTGTCCCTTGTGCAAGTAGGTGCAAACTGGACATAGAGCCAGCATCCTACTGATACCGCTCCATAGCTATACTATCAACGGGCGGGACCATAACCTGACCAGTTGATGTTCAACTCGAGTACAGCTACTCTTGTCCACGAGTACTACTCATCAGTCGGGCAGATTGGATGTTACACTCCAGTACGTACACCTTGTCCAACACACTCGTACATACGACTACACTGACTAAAAATACATGCCGAAGTTACCGCTTCACTCCGTTACGCATGTTTTGTGACGATCATAATGGTAATGCGTGGATAAGCTTGGATTGATCCAGTCCGCCGTAACGTGAGTGGATAGGCGTCCTACGCACCCGCGATGTCAAAGATTCAAGCGTCACGAGTCGGACAGTAAACATTGGACCTGAAGAGATCGGTCCGTCGCAGCGTTTCCATAGACCAATGCAACACCTAATGTAACTCCATTCTTACAACTTGACCTTCAATCATAAAAATGCGTGTTTAGTATAGACCTCTTCATAATGGTTTTTTTCGTCCTGAAGCGAGCGTTTCAGGAGCTTCAATACCAGTGGTGCCTGTCGTCAGCGCACGAGCCTAAAAAAAACGTCTTTTACACGTCTGTTTTTTTCTCAGCGAAGGGATGGTATACTCAGATCAAGTCTACGAGGGCGCGACAGCTTGAACCGGACATAGACCCGTCAACCGGGTACTGCGGTTTATGTGACGAAGCGGATGTTTGGGCAGACGAGGCGTCCGAAGCGACCTCATTTGTCGGAACTGGGCACTGCTCCCTCAGCTTCAAAGTCCCCTCCTCTTCTCTTTCGTCCTCCTTTGGGTCTTTTCTTATTTTTGTGCCCAAATTGTCATCGTCAGAGGGGGCAGCACCCGGCCTCTTGACCCACCTCGTCTGTCTATCGTCGTCTCTCCTCCACAATGATTCACTTTTGGGTTTTCAGTACAACTGCCAAGGAAGGTAGTGTGGGATACCTTCAGCATGCCTCCAGCCATACATGCCTCCAGTTCGTCCTTCCATCTACCACAAGAACCTACCGTACTGATCCACTCGCCTCTCGTAGCCAAGAGGTTGGGACCCGTTCCCGCCTCAAGTGCTACGAGCATTTTGGGTCGTTATGTTTTCCGGAAGAAATTGCGGGATACGTTGTATGGCGAGACGGCATTGTACCAGGACAAACAGCTCCAGAAACTGGTGGTACTGAAGCGCCTTAGTATCTCTCTATTGGAACAAGAAGATCCGAACTCGGGTGTTGTCAAGGAAAACCCGCTCAATGAACAAGCTGTGATGCAGTTACTTGAAGACCCGTTGATCGCCCACGCTCCAGGTTATGAACATGTTGTGGCGTATGAACGCGAGGGGTTCTTTGCTGTTGAAGACAGTGTCTTTGTGGCCATGGAGTTCTGCCCTGGAGGTGATCTCTATGACTACGTGACTGCTCAGACGAGTCAACGGCTTGAAGAGACTGAAGCGCTGTCGCTTTTTGCTCAAATTGCCAAAGGACTGAGCTTCCTGCATGCCAGTGGCGTGGCCCATCGTGATTTGTCCCTCGAGAACGTGCTACTTAATGACGGACAAGTGAAAATCTGTGACTTTGGCCTGAGTACCGAGGCACATGAGTGTCCATCCGAACCGGTGGGTAAATTCTACTACATGGCACCGGAAGTGATGGAAAAGGGTGGTGGATTATACGACCCCAAGGCTGCTGACGTCTGGTCCCTTGGAGTCCTACTGTTTATGCTGCTGACTGGTTCACCGCTGTTTGTCGAGGAGAAGGCTCGTGCTCCGACTTTCCGAATACTTGAAAAGTACGGCGTCGGTAAGATCCTCGAACTTTGGGGGTTCCACCAGTACGTGTCCAAGTCCACAATCAAGTTCCTGACACTTCTATTACAAGTCGAGCCATTGCGTCGGGTTCGTGCCGAAGACGTGGCACACCACCCACTTTTGCAACCACTTTTAATGAGCGACTTTCGACCGACCGGACGCCCCTACTTGAATACATGTAGCTAACGAAACCCAACACCCAAAACGCAAATCACAAATCACAGAAAGGGTAGTGACTAATTTATCATCGAAACAAGACACTTTTTTTATGTTTATTACTACGACTTCACACGACACAAAGTCCGCCCATTGACTTTATCTTACTTCAGCATAAATCCACCCAAAAGTCAAGATAAAATCCAATTGCAACCCTTTCGTTTGCATTGACTAGACAGGCCTGCCTCGACGTCGCGAGGATGCCGGCTTCGCTGCGCTCTCTAGCCACACACAGAGCCGATGCAACGCTCCAACCACCACGAGAAGATCCGCAAGACGAAGGCGGTTCGTATGATACTATTCACATTCATTGTACAGGTCGTACTTCTTGCCTAACTTGCCTCGAAGCTTCCGGTACTGACACTGCATGCTGTCAACTCGTACTTAATGACGTTGTGGACCATTTTTCAGGTACAAATACCAGTCATCGTGCAGAGGGTAAAGAAAGGCTTGCAAGGAAGCTGGCAGACGTGTCGCACTTACTGGACGGTCTCTTGGAGCCTCTTGAAGCTTTAGAAGGACTTTGGATACGCACTCACAGCGTGTTGGAGCTGATAGCGTTACTTCAGGACCACCACTTTATGCAGATGGTGAAGTGGGAATCCGGTTGGAGGCTGACTATCGAGACTAAGATGAAGAGAATGCTAATGCAGAAACTTGGACGGCGTGAAGTACCAGGAGCAGGAGCTGAGACATTTGACGTTGCGCTGGCAGTGCTGGTGTATTTCTTATCTTCTCACGCTGAAACGGAAGGCTGGTTTGATGACAAAGTGCTGCTGGATGCAGTGGTGTACGCGCTCAGACGGGCGGTCACGCGTGCAAGAGCAATAGAAGTGAAGCAGCAAGTGAAACAGGACGAGAAGCTGGAGGTTGATACGTTCAGTTCTACTTCTGCAGCTACTTTTGCTGTCGAGAAAAAGTGTTTGAAGCGGAAGCAGAAGTTTAAGATGCCAAATGATGCTGCGAGTGCGAAAGTGGCTGGTGCACGTGCTTTTGCAGGTGCCAAGTCGGTGGTGAGTTTGACGCATGTGACGTCAACAGATAGGGATGAATCGTGCTGGATGCAGCTTGATGGACTTCTGCGCGATCACGAGTCGTTCTATGTTGAAGGCAAGCTGCACGTTTCGGTAGTGAGCGCGCTAAGTGCCGCGCTGCAAAACTTGCTGCAAGTGAGCGAGACCTTGCCGAGCCTTTCACTAGGCTTGACCCCACAATTATGTGATGTTTCATCACGCGACTCTGCGGAGAATACTTGCGATCGGATACGTGCTCGGAAGCGTCAGCTTGTGCGGAATGGCGGGGTCGATGTGTTGATGCGTGAGCTTGGTAAGCGGGTGCACGATCTCATAGCGGTTTCACCACTGACCCGGATTGGAGCAATTACGCTGGACTGCATAAAACCGCTCCAGCGCATCAAGACGTTGCTATGCTTTTTCGACCAAATTTCGTTTTTGGCCTTAAATGTACAGCGATACATAGCAAGAAAGAGAGCACTTGTTGCACTGTTGCTGAAGCTGATTCGCTTGCTCAGTGAACTGAGCTGGGGTACTCATGCGCAAGGGTGGTGGAAGGCTGAAGTCGCGCGGATGTCATTGGCCGTTGAGACTTTGCTATGTGCGTTGCGTGTGTTGATCAATTTGACGCACTGTAACGTCGAGGCTGCACAGCATGTTTTTGCCTTGGATGGCATGCCACAGCTTACAGCTTCACTTTTCCAGCTTTTGAGCTTTGTGATGAGAGCCAAGGAGCACTTACTTCTGCTATCGGCAGCAAGAAAGTGGGAGTTCGACGCGTGTTTACTGTTACTGAGTCTGATGGTAAACTGTATTGAGTTTAGCAAGGACAACCGTGACGCACTAGCTGGAGTATCGTTGCTCCAACGTGAGTCAACACGCGGTGCATGCGGTTTGTTTGTGTCTTTTTTTCTGGCAAAAGTGCAGTCGTTCCAGCACCTTATTTCCGAACCGAAGGATGCTAATGAGGCAGTACGTATTGACGATGACAGCGACGACTGGAATCCTGAGGATGTGATTCTAGGAGGTTGCATGTCGTTGCTGCTTGGGTATCTCATAGAGGGGTCGGTAGTTGATCGCGCACTCATTTTGAGCTCTCTGCCGGGTTTCTCGCCGCGGTTGTTACTTCGTGCCCTTAGCGCGTTCGTGGCACTTCACTCGCAGATTGGTGCACTGACCTTTGACGTAGCCACATCGGTTCTTCATGTTGAAAAAGTACTGAAGTCATGCCAGGAAGGATTGCGTGATGCATACTATCTTACGGATGCTGCTGAAGCATCTCCTGAAGTTTTTGAGAGACAATGCGCTTCTTCGATGGGTTTGTTGGATTCAGGCTCAGTCGTGGGCAGTGATATTGCTGTGGGCAGTAGCCTTGGATCTGAGATCGTGATGAAGGAGTCAGTCATGCTCCGAAGCGGTGATGAGTCGTCATCATCTCTGCAAGCTGGTGTCGTGAAAGGTGCACGCTTTCGTCTTGATGACTCTGATGGGGAGTACGAGCCACGCCGTCAGGGCCAAATGTCGAATCTCGACGTATCCAGTGCTTTTGAAATACATGACACACCTCCGATGACTCCGTGTGGGGGTAAACGACCTTACTCGGGATTGGTGGAGACGTCCTACCCTTCATCGTCGAATACCAGAAGTCCTCTGCGTCCTAGTATATCGTTACCCACTGCAGTGCTTCCGGATGACTCTCCGTCATCTCCCGTCGTGACGCGGCTTTTGAAACGTACTCGTGAGATCGTTAGGGAATTCGATGCTGAGTTCACAAAACCGGATTGCTCGACCGCCGAAAAGCAAATCGCATGCAGCGAAATAACCACCGCACGATCGCCATGTATGGTGCTTACGATGAATCTGACTTGCCGTGAGAATGAAAGTGATGGACTGGACATTTCTCCAGATGTGCTTGGAGGAAGCTACGACAGCGTCGGTATGAACATGAACAAGATCATAGTCGAGCGAGACGTCTGTGGTAAGGCGGCGTCTATGCGAAAAAAGAAGTCTTCTCGCGATTTCAACGGACCTGCAGAAAATGCTGTCTTTGAGTTTGCGTCCACAGACACGACTTTATCGACATCTTCTCGTGTGCAAAAGTGCACGATGCTGCTACAAACGCCGACGAATGGTGGGCACTCTTTTGATTTTGATCGACCGTCACCATCGCTGAATCTGACGCCTACAAAGACGACCCCATCGACTTCGTTGCAGTTCAAGACTTCCCAGAAGCTGCTGCGCAAGAGCTGTCGCTCTTCTCTCAATCAGCAGCCGTTATCGGCAAATTCACTTCGCCGCAAGGCAAAAGCAGTCCGCACTGCTTCTAGCTCCATCTTTGACTTCGCGGACTCCGATCGAAACCTCCTTATGACGAACATCGAGTTGAAAGTCCACCACGATGAACAGTCGTATCAATGAAATCGCCGTTAGTGCGTCTATTTATTCAGCTTGAAGCTCGTCAGTTTTATTGAGCATTTATGCCTTCGTTGTTCGCCGCTCTGCGCATGATAAATAGGCAGTGATGCTTGATGGTGAATACGATCGCCATACTGATGAAGACGACGGTATTTATGGCAGCAGAGGCTTCGTTTCGGACATCATCGCAATTTGCTGGTATTGCGCTTTCACGATCCATTACAAACAGGTTGACAATCACAGCTTTTATTGCTATTTGTCTCTATTACGCTGAAGCACCGTTGAGGCACTCACCGTGCACACAAGCCAAAGGAGCTGTATCGTATCATGAACTTTGAGGTGCGTAGCTTTGTCCAACGATGGGCAATCATTAATTGATTCCGTTCAAAAAGAACGCCGTTAAGCAGCACCGAGGTATGAATAGTGACTAGGTGGAGGTTTCAATCACTCGCAGCAGTTTTCTCTAGTGAGATCACACGCTTGCCCCCGCCCTGTACGACCTGAGGTTGAAGTAAATCGCGCATTCAGACGCCGGCTTCTTCATGGTGAGAGCTTATCCACCGCATCACGCCAAATTGCTACAGTTTACCAGCGCAGTCACATTTGACGATTGAAGTGTAGCTCATTTTGTCCAAGACTCCAGTGAGAAGCTGAACGGTGTTGAATTTGCTTCGTCGCTATCGCAGATTCTAAGCTCGACGCATGTCGACTTTCTAGTATCCTTCATGTCGACGACCACGAGCCTGTGCGATTGACTCGACGCAAGTACATCAAGGGATCAAGTGGTGCGTTCTTACGCCACTTTCTTTTCAGACTGAAACGCGGCACGCTATCGCAGACAGCGAGTGTTCCGAGGTTAAAACTATAGAAACCTGGTCAATGAGCTCTCATGGGCACCGGTTCAGCGTAAACTTGATGGCCAGGAATTCGTGTGGTATTGGCTTCGAAACTGCGGTCGATCACTTACAGGCAAGACATCCTCCATCCACCAAGTGACCTAATCTGTACAACGTTCATGCATGCACCTTCGAATGCTACAGCGCTAAAAGCAGCATGACATTCCTATGCTCTACATTATACGACAGGTCTGTTGTTATCAGACGAACAGCATTGCAACAAGATCGACACAGCTCCTTTCATTGTAATGGTGATGCTCTTGAAGAAGCTAAGATATGGTGATGCGAGTATTGAGTCACCATGGCAACTTCACTCAACTAAATAATGAAGAGCGTAAACTCTGTTGATCATGCGGACGCTCCTTTGGTCAGATTGAAGCTGTGCCAGTGCACATGAGGACAGATACAACGTGTACTGACAACGTTCGTGAAGGTGGTAGACTCAGTAACGTACTAAACCGGAGATGCAAGACGCACTATCGTATGCATACCATGGATGCAGAAAATACGGGTGAGAGTTCGCTCATCTTGAACTGATAGAATTGCTCGATATCCTACAGGATTTTTCCCATTATTACGCTGGAGTAGACGTATGACCGAGATAGAAGCTACTTGTAACGGGGTGAATCGTTACATAACAATTTATAAGAAATTGTTAATAGAATATAACTATAAGAGTTATACTCTCAGAATATTGTCATAAGGACAAATATTCTGTAGCACTTACGAGTAGTTCCTAATTGGTTGATATAGGCCATTATATCAACCAACGAAGACGCGCCACGACAGACGCACGCAACGAGTGGTGAGCAGATAACTGATTTACATATTTGTATTTAGACATAGTTAGATGAAGATAAATAGTGATTTATTGCAGATATTAACTATTATAATACAGTTCTACTTTCTACTCTAACCAAGTACTCGCTTCTTCTTACCGTCTTCCTCTGCACGTACCAGTGTACGTGAGGTTACGAGTCACCGCCTTATTCTGTCATCAGAATAAGTAGCTTGTACTGTCACCAGTACAAGCTTCAGGGTGCCCCGTTACACCTGGTAGCACTTCGTAGTCCGTCCAAGGACCGCGTTCACATCCAACATGAATATGTTGGATGATGAAGATGACCAAAGCTTTCACGCTACGCGTGACGGCTACTCCCATTTGAGCGATGTCGAATGGGATGCGTTTGAACGAATGGGTTCAATCATGGGCATCCATGCTGTTAGCGTCATGCTAGAGGCTCTCAATAGAGATGCCCAACATGCTACTATCGCCAAGTTCATTCAAAATGAACTTGACGCTGAACGCGAGAAAGTAGCCTTGCTTCACCAACAAGGTTCTCAACAAGCAGAGTTGTTGAGAGAACAGGGTGCTCAACAGTTTGAACTGTTGAGACAGCAGCAGGCTGCTGCTGGCGGGTCGATGCACTCGCGTCGACCCGAGACTTTGAAGATTGACATCTCAAAGTATAGGGGGGTCGAAGAAGACTCCCTCTTGAGATGGTTCGTCGAATTGGATGACGCCATAAGGGCGCGTCGCATCGACGACGGGGATATGCAAGTTGCATTTACCCAGTCAAATCTGGCAGGACGTGCCAAGACTTGGGCACTGGGGCTCAAGCTGCACGACCCATATGCGTTTGGGTCGTTGGAAGTCTTCAAGTCGCGGCTCAGACAAACGTTTGAACCGCCTAGAGCTGAATTCAGGGCTCGAACCGAACTCTTGAAGCTCAAGCAGGGTAAGCGCGATGTGCACGCTTACGCTCAACAATTTACAACATCTCACGAGTTGTATAAGTTCCAATTCGGTGGATGAACACACTTTGGTTTCGGTGTTCATGCAGGGTCTTGCGGATGGTCCCGTCAAGACTCACCTGTTCCGGCTTGAACTAGATTCACTAGAACAAGCCATTTCCATTGCGGAGCAGGAAGACTTCAGTCTGAGACAGGCTCGCGCCAGCTCGACATCATATCGTCAACCGAGACGATATGACAACGGAGGTCCAGAGCCGATGGAACTCTGTTATGTAGAGAGCGAGAAGGCTCGCTCTACAGGCTACAAGAAGTTGCAGAGATGCAACAGATGTCAAAAGACAGGACACTACGCTTACGAGTGTAGTGTCCCTCGTCCAGTGTCTAGCGACACTGGGCGTAGTGACCGTCCACCCATGAGAATGGGGCAGGGACGAGGGTCCGCAGTTGGTGCAAAGACGCAACAACGGGATGGACCGTCAAAAAACGGACAGGATCAGTAGGTGCGGAGCACCCTACTGGTCTAGCAACGTCAAGAGAATTTGTAGGCCTCTTGATGAAGGTTGCTCCCAACACACAAACGTTGTGCGTTGCTGCTCTAGGTAATGAGGTCTCACTCATTACCTTGAAACTCGAAGTGATGAATAAGTTGTCCCTTCGAGCTCTAGTCGATTGTGGGGCGTCCAACAATTTTGTGCGACGCCAATCGCTAGAAGATGGGTCACTTTAAATTCAGTGAATGTGACACACCTCCTACGAGGATGACGGTACGTCTTGCTACAGGCGCATCCGTAACCGTCATGAAGCGTATAGTGAAGATCCACTATACGCTAGAAGATACCCAATATGACGATGACTTTATCGTATTGGATTTGGATGACAAATTTGATGTCATCCTTGGAACACCGTGGCTCAGAAGGTACGAACCACGGGTAAACTGGCAACATCGAACGGCAACGATGCCTGCCGCTTGTTCATAAGATGGCTATCTATGAACGTTTTGGAGCGTCCACAAGCGTGTGGATGTACTACGAGTGAGTGCGATGGCCTCACTTGTGGTACGGTCGTTAGTACGACTGCACAAAACCTTAGCGTACCAAACGGTTACACTTCGGAGCAAAGTTCCGGCGGCTGTGAGGAAACACAGGCTGCGCCGAAGGTCCACCACTCGAATAAGTCGGGTGGACTGGGACAAAGATGTATCCCTAGCGGGGAACATCTAGAAGAGAAACAATCGATCGCTCAGGTTAAGCGAAACGATAATACTAGATCGACTGGAGAGTCTTTCGTAGAGGATCTCGCTGTGGTTGCGCAACCCCAGCTAGAGGAATTTAAGGGAATAAGTCCCAAGATTACAAATACGGCGGAAATAAGTTCCCCGAAACCCGCGGGAATAAGTCCCCGGGAAGACGAAGGAATAAGTCCTTCGAAGCCTGAGGGAATAAGTCCCCAGGAAATGACAGAGACATTGAATGTCATAGTCAATAACGGACCAAGTGTAGGCGCTTATACACTTGATCTGATTGCGCCTCCGAAGTTACCTTCGGAGATCACTCAGTTGCCAACGCTCGAACATAAAAGGTTCTTGCGTGATCTGCGTAGTGGTAAAGTCAAGGAGATCTGCATACTCGTCGCTGACGACGAGTGTGTAACCGACATAAGGTCAGCAACAGTGTTTACTGAGAACGAGAGAGTTCTCAGTAGTTCATCTATGGACGAGAGTGTCCTAGATGAAAAGACACGAATTGAGCGATATGACTCCCAATCATGGGAATCGCTCAAGAATAATCCTCTCTATGAAGATTTGGTTGAATTCAAGGATGTATTCCCTGAAACTGTTCCGTGCGAATTACCGAAGGATAAAGGTATTCGGCACGAAGTCGAGCTTAAACCAGGCTCGAAGTACTGTGTCATGAAGCAGTGGCCACTGCCTCGTGAACAAGTACTTGCGATCGACAAGTTCTTTGCCTATCGTTTAGCAGCGGGCCATGCGAGGGAATCAACTTCCCCACATATCTCTCCGACCTTCTGTGTGCGAAAAGCAACAGGAGGGTGGCGGATAGTGCACGCGTTCAACAAATTGAACGCTGCAACGGTACCGGCTCAGACGCCGATACCGAGGAAGGATGTAATCATTGATGGTATGTCAAAGAGTACCATCTTTTCGTCCATGGATTTGATGGATGGCTTCTATCAAATCCTTATGCGAGAACGGGATATACCCTATACCGCAGTTAGCACGCCTAGCGGCATGCTCTGGGAATGGCTAGTAATGCCACAAGGGCTCAGTAATGCCCCTGCCACGTTCAACAGATGTGATACACATCTGTTGAGACCAGTACGAGAATTCGCGCCGAGTTATTTCGATGACGTATTCATCCATAGTCGAGCTATGGATGGAAAGTCGGACGTTGAGGTTCACAGGTACCACGTCCGACAAGTTCTTACAATCATGCGAAAGCATCAATTGTATGCTAACCTCAAGAAGTGTATATTTGCGGCAAGCGAAATACCACTTCTTTGGGTGCATCGTTGGTAAGAACGGTGTACGTCCTGATCCCGAAAAGATCGAGGCGATCACCGACTGGCCTGTGCCGGTTGATGTCAAAGGTCTTCGAAAATTCCTTGGGCTAGCGGCGTATTTGCATAAGTATTCACGCAATTACGCCGATATGACTGTGCACCTCTCTCGTTTGTTGAAAAAGAACGAGAGGTGGTTATGGAACGCTGAATGTCAGAGCTCTTTTGATGGTATGAAGCAGAGCTTGATACACCCCAGTCCTAGCAATAGCCGATCAGGACAGGCCATTTCATGTGGTCTGTGATGCCAGCGATTTCGCAATCGGCTGTGCATTAATGCAGTCCGATCTTGAAGGCGTTGAACGCGTCGTCTGCTATCAGTCGCGTCAGCTGCAACCAGCTGAGCGGAACTATCCAGTGCATGACAAGGAACTCCTTGCCATGAAGTATGCACTCGCGAAGTTCAGAGTCTATCTATTAGGAGATAGACCCTTCGTTGTTTACACTGACCATGCGTCATTACGCACGGCAGTGAACAGCCCGCACCTTTCACAACGAATGGCGCGGTGGTTGTCATTCTTTGCGGAATACAACTTTACGGTCGAGTACAAACTAGGACGACTTCATGTCGTCTCTGATGCACTCTCACGTCGTCCCGACTTTGAAACAGTCGCGAAACCCAACAGTGAGACAGTCACTGTTGCGGTTATGACGTCCTCAGTCCCATCTACAACGTTGTATGATGATGTGAGGCGGGCATACGCCCAAGATGGTGAGATAGTGAAGTTGTTGTCACATCTCTCCCAACCATCCCGAGAATCGTTGAAACGATTGTCGCCTGCGTATCGATCTGCATCAGATCGATACACTACTCGTAACGGTTTACTGTATTATACAGCCGTTTCTGGTGACACACCACGTGTTGTCATTCCAGATGATACTGATCTGCGTTTACGGATCATGTTCGAGTATCACGATGCTCCTATAGGAGGACATCGTGGCCGAGAGAAAACATATCTCACGGTAAGTCGAGACTTTTACTGGCCCCGCCAGTATCAGATTGTGCGAAAGTATGTTCGCGCATGCGAAGTCTGCCAACGAGTGAAGTCAAGTCCTTCACTGCGTGCACCTTTACAGCCTCTACCGGTTCCGGCAGAGTGCTGGGAATCCATCTCAATAGATTTCGTCTTCGGTTCACCCAAAGACGCACGCGGGAATACGGGTATTCTCGTATTTGTTGACAGATTCAGCAAAATGGTACACCTTGTGGATGTACCTGAGACAATCACGGCAAGTGGCTGTGCTTGTGTCTTTATTGACACCATCTTCCGACTTCATGGGTTACCCCGTGAACTCGTATCAGACAGAGATCCACGATTCACTGCTGATTTCTGGCGTTCCGTGTTCAAATCACTCGGAACGCGCTTGAAGATGTCAACGTCTGATCATCCAGAGTCAGATGGTCAAACGGAACGTGCCAAACGTGTCCTTGAAGAGATACTTCGAGGATACGTACACTCCTTTAAGAGTTGGAGTGAGTTTTTGCCAATGGTAGAGTTTGCCATCAACAACTCGGTGCATGCGTCCACGACACATACACCGTTTTACGTGAATGGCTTGCGCCATCCGCGTGTACCCACCTTACTAGAGTGTAACTCTGGTTTAAGGGGGGGAAGGACTCGCGCGAGCAAAAACCGATTTGGTTCACGCGCATCACGCCCTGACGAAGAAGTCATTGCGTTTGACGCCGATATCGATAACATCGATATCGAAGAAGATGATGCCAGTAAGAGTGCGGAAGCCCTCACTGAAGAAAAGATCGATGTCGCTGCAGTGCACTCACATCGCACTAAGGCTAACGAGCCATCAGATGAGTTCATACTGGCTCGTGAAACGGTAGTCCGTTTTGTGCAAGAGTCCATCGCCGAAGCGGTGGTTAAGCAAAAGCAAAACGCTGACAAGAATGGAAGGGCAAACACCCTTTTATTTAATAAAGGTGACTTAGTCCTACTGTCTACGGTTAATCACCAAAGCACGTAGTGACTAACTTGGGTAGCAGTAAACTACTACCCAAGTACATTGGCACATTTCGTGTATTGCACCGCCTAGGCAATGCATACACGATCGAGTTACCACGTAAGATGCGAACGCATCCCACGTGTTACGTTGGTCGGCTTAAGCCGTACCATCAGTACGCTGCTTCTTCCGATGAAGAACGCCCTTGCGCTCAAGCATCTCGCAGAGAGCCTTGTGCTCCCGATGGTGGGCATCAACAAGGGTCTGAAGAGCAGTTATCTCAGCCCGAGACCGATCAACAATCCCACGAGCTACCCTTAGCTCGTCACGAAGAGATGTCAGAGATCTCTCGTTCTCGAGCTGAGAAAAGGCAAACTCAGCTCGATGCTTCGAGGCAGTGTCCGCCATTTGGAGACGCCTATTCCGCTCATGCTCGAGATCGTCGCGTAACCCTTGCGTTACGCGATCAAAGAAGCTCTCGGGAACACACCGATCCACATGATCGTGTGGAGAGCGTCTTCCCTCCTCCTCCACCTCCATTTGAGGACTCTCGCGGAGGCTAGCGCTATCTGGTTGAGCTGCTGTTGAACAACCACGATGTGAACGGACGTCGGACGAGTTATCTCGTCCGGTGGCGCGGCTATCCCCCGTCCTGGGATTCTTGGGAGCCCCGCTACCAACTGATGATCGACGTACTGGGTCTGGTTGAGCAGTACGACGCGGCACATCCTGTGCCGCAGAAGGACCGCCGGAGAAAGTCTTCCCGGCACGGTCGTAAAGGGATTTCAGGTTGTCAATCCCTTCGTACATCTCAGTAGAGATACGTACGCGCCACCACGGGCTGGTAAGGAGGTAAGCCTCCTTAGGTGCTCGTGCAGAGTTGTTCACACAACATGGACACGGGTCTCCCCAAGAGAGGCAGGGTAATCCCTTCTCCTTTGACAGATGATGCAGCTTGTAGCGTGCACCTGTCGGGGTTCGCTTTTCAAACTTATCACGAGCTTTGATAAGTTTGTCGTTCCAAGCGTCACGACCTACATCCTCGAGGTTATGGATGTAGGCGTTCCACGCCTGAAGTAGTGAGGGACCATCACGTTTGTGATTCCCACTGCACCATCGATGTCTAAAGAAAGCATCGATGAAGAATTCGTGTTCAGCGCGATAGTTTACGCGCTGGGGTCAAGGTGATGGATCCTTGACGAATCGAACAATCGTGTTCGATAACGATCACTCGTCGTCGCCGACAAGTGATCCATGACGGATTTTGGAGGCATCCATGCCTTCTTTTCTGGACCGAGACGCAACACATTGCGGTCCCGCTCTTCCTGCGACGTGCCGACAGAAGTACTGGCACCTCGCTGTGAAGTGGTGTCCATTGGAGAACCGACACCACTATTAGCGCCCGAGTCTCGCGACCTCTAGCGCCTACGCTTCGGCGATGGTTCATCTGATTCATCAGATGAACCAAAGATGCTGCGACGCAAAGCATCGTCCATGCCACGCTTGGCAGGCGGCATAGATTCAATCGCCGTCGATACGGATCCGTCATCCGTATCAGGAGAGTACGAGACACCGAGCTCGTACTCTGTGAAGACACGAGTTTCTTCATGACCAGCGCCTGCATCACCAGGTGATATAGGCTGAGTCACTTCAGCAACCGATGGGACATCAGTTGCTGTTGTTTCTGCTTCGGCGTCCGCACAGAGACGTGCAGACGCGCTCTCGGCGGCCTTGCTCGCGCATCGCATGGGCTTGTTAACCATGCGATGAGATGTTAGAAAGTGGACGCGGACCAACAAGTGCAAACCCTGTCCCAAATGATTTGGGACGAGTATCCATTTAGTCAATCAGTCACTAAAGTGACTGATGGATAAGGGGGGGATGTAACGGGGTGAATCGTTACATAACAATTTATAAGAAATTGTTAATCGAATATAACTATAAGAGTTATACTCTCAGAATATTGTCATAAGGACAAATATTCTGTAGCACTTACAAGTAGTTCCTAATTGGTTGATATAGGCCATTGTATCAACCAACGAAGACGCGCCACGACAGACGCACGCAATGAGTGGTGAGCAGATAACTGATTTACATATTTGTATTTAGACATAGTTAGATGAAGATAAATAGTGATTTATTGCAGATATTAACTATTATAATACAGTTCTACTTTTTACTCTAACCAAGTACTCGCTTCTTCTTACCGTTTTCCTCTGCACGTACGAGTGTACGTGAAGTTACGAGGCACCGCCTTATTCTGTCATCAGAATAAGTAGCTTGTACTGTCACCAGTACAAGCTTCAGGGTGCCCCGTTACACTACTGTACTGATGTTGTAACGAGGCACCCTTAGTCCAGGTGCCGCGAAACTTTACGTACACTAGTACATGCAGAGGAATCTAATCTACTCAAACAGATCGTTCGAGTAAAGGGTAAAAAGAGAACTGTGTTTAATATAGTTAAGCTATCAATATAACTGTAATCTTTATCGAATTACATTAAATTACGTCGTCGTATGACGACAACCTGCTCACCACTCATTGCGCGCGTCTAGCAGCGATTGGTGGTAATCTATGGTTGATTTGTCTTTTATCTACCAATCTTGAAGCAGCGCATGAATTTTATCCTACAAAGGGGATAATATTCCTTCAATATTATCCATCTCGGATGATATTGTAGAATATTTTCATGCCAGACAATCGCCCTATTGACACCATTTGGTGTCAATATGCTGCAAAGGTATACCTTGTTACATCACCCGCCCTTAACCATCAATCACCCGTTGATTGAACTGTAGTGATTGGGACAGGGTGACCACCGTTGGATCACTCTCGAAAGGGAGCACTTGTTGGTCAAATTTCATTTATTTGCCAATCCAACGCATGGCTTCGAAAACCACCCGAGCTGCTACTGCAGCAGTAAGAAGGGCAGCTGCTCGCATGCGTGCGGCCGGAGAGTGCACTTCTCACACCTTAGCAGCAGGTGATTCGTCGCCTGTTGTTGCGAATCGTCCACATGTTGAGTCACCACGTGCGACCGGTACATCCGCTGCGTCTGCAGCGGGTACTGCGAATCGTAATCCGGACGAGTCTGAAATAGAGCTCATCTATTCTGGCGAGTCGGATGATGTATCCGACTCGAAGGCGACACCTCACGCCTCCGGATCATCCAAGGCGGACACTGCAGAGCCAGGTTGACTGGTTCTGGTCAAAGTGGCAGCATCATGCTCGGGATCTTCGGATCGAGAGATCCTTCCGACGAATCCTCGCCTCACGCGAGTCCATCCAGCGATAGGATGCGTGCGGATGGTGGTGATACACCTATACATCACCACGAGCGAAGCAACTCGAGGGATCGAGGTGTCACTGGTGTCAGTGCTCATGCTGACACCAATCAAGAGGCCAGGGACCGAAATGTCCTGCGCCGCGTTCCTCAAGTGGGGTCTCCTTGGATGCCGTCATCCAAAGAATTATATCGAGTGGCCGGCATGACTGCCGATCGAGATCGAATCCTGTTGTTCGATTGTAGGAAGATTTGCTCACCTGATTCCAGCACGGAAACTATCCGTGCTAAGGAAGAATTCTTCACCAATGCGTTCTTCAAACATCGGTGGTACAATGTCAGCCGTGTTCGAGACGGAAGGCCTTGGTGCAACGATGGAAAGCCCTCATCCATAACATCGAGTGTATTGGCCGTGAGGCCTAACTCGTTAAACTTGATGCAGCTTGCATCAGGCTTAAGAAGCGCAACCCAGTCGGGGTGCAATACAAGTTGCAACTTCTGTCAAGAGAGACAGGATTGCACTGTCTCTTGCGGGGTGATTCGTGTCCAGGTTGCCTGGATAATGCTAATTGTGCCGCTAGAGAGGCCTACCTCCCTAGTGATCCCCACTGGAGGGCGCGCATCTCTTCTGAGATGGCCGAAGGAATTGACTCTTTGCAATCCCTGTATTTGCTTTCGGGTAGGTCGTTTTCCGACGGCCCTTCTTCGAACGCAGCGGCTGGGTCTCGTCATACTGCTCAACGAGACCAAGGACATCAGCAATCAGCTGGGCACGAGGCTCGTAGCTGTCCCACGCCGGTGGATATCCACGCCAGCGGACGAGGTAACTCGTCCGGACGCCATTCACGTCGCGGTGGTTCAAAAGACGCTCCACTAAAAAGCGTTGACCACCGCCTAAGTCCACCAAAGGATGTGGTGGCGGCAGGAACACCTGATCCGGCTTAAGGGTCGGATCAGCTTGATGTTCAGGAGCTGAACCGTGTAACGGAACAGTTGTAAGATGACATGGCTCATGAAAGGACTCGGAGTTATGAGCCCCATGATCTTGTAAGGGATTCTTATAATTTCCTAACGCACGATCGTTCTACCGATCGTGCCGCGTTCGAGTTCGCAAAACTTTAGAACGAACGTTCGACTCGTTCTCTTCGTGATGAGCTGGCTGCAGCTCGTCTAGACATAACTGGGCTGCGTGAACAGGTCGCTTCGCTAGTCGACCAGACTGGCTCGTTGAAACGGGATCACTCAAAGGTGGTCTTGGCTCTCGACCGTGGAGGTGTTCTTCGCATCTCGAAACGGGATCGCACTGATAGTACGGGCGGAGACGACCAAAGTTAAAGGTAGGATGCGTGCGCATCTTACGAAGCAGTTCAATCGTGTATGCGTTGCCCATTCGGCGCAACACACGAAATGGACCGATGAATTTTGGCAGTAATTTGCTGCTGCCCACGTTTGTCACTGCGTGTTTGTATTAATATACTGTAGACAGTAAAACTAAGTCTCCTATGTCAAATGAAAGAACATTTGCTCTTCCATGATTGTCTACGTTTCTCTTCCGGACGTCTAGTGCATCTGCAATAGAGTCTTGAGCGAAGCGGACAACCCCTTCGCGAGTCAGCAGAAATTTCACTGCTGATTCATCCTTGTCAACAGCATTGCGCTTCTTCCTCACTGTGACAGTCATTGGCGATGCTAAATATACCAGCATTGTCGTCATCATCATCATCATCGATATCGATCGCATCAACAACGGCATTTACCACGTCGACACCATTGTCGACGTGCGATGAGCAAGAATCAAATCGGTTGTCTTTCGAGCAAGTCCACCCCCTAAAACTAGAGTCACCATTTGAGAAGGCGGGTAAACGTGATGGCGTAGGCCATTCACAAAAACGGTGTTTGCATAGTCGACGCACGCACCGAGTTGTTGATGGCAAATTCCGCCATCGGCAAGAACTCACTCCAACTCGTAAACGAGTGGACATACCCTCAAAGTATCTCTTTGAGGACGCGGTTAACGCGTTCCGTTTGACCATCTGTTTCTGAATGGTCAGAAAGCGACATCTTCTTCAATCGTGTTCTGAGTGAACGGAACACGGATTGCCAGAACTCCGCTGTGAAGCGGTGGTCCCTATCAGATACAAGTTCACGGGGTAACCCGTGAAGTCGGAAGATAGTAGCGATGAAGACACGAGCACAACCCTGGGCTGTGATTGACTCCGGTACAGCAACAAGATGTACCATCTTGCTGAACCGATCAACAAAACACAAGAATATTAGTACTCTTGTGAGCGTCTTTGGGAAACCTAAAGACGAAGTCTATCGATACGGACTGAGCCTTGCTGTTATAGCAATGATATCTTCTGTCTATTTGACGGCAAGTTCCCCTTGTAGGAACTTGTTGATAGCAGCATGTTGCTGGTCTGTGCTTAAAGACTCCAACATACCACTGATGGCGGGTTCGTCCATGAGCACACTCATGCGACCGACTACCTTTCATTCTGAGTCACTCAGATGGGAGTAGCCTAGACGTGTGACATGAAAGCTGTTATCTTCTACGTTCAACATGTTCATGTTGGACGACACTAAGTAGTCGTTCGACGGACTACGAAGTGCTACCAGGTGTAACGGGGCGCCCTTTGTCTAGGTGCCAAGAAACTTCACGTACACTAGTACGTGCAGAGGAATCTAATCTACTCAAACAGCTCGTTCGAGTAAAGGGTAAAAAGAGAACTGTGTTTAATATAGTTAAGCTATCAATTTATCTTTAATCCTTATCCAAATATATTGAAATACATCGTCGTATTACGACAACCCGCTCACCACTCATTGCGCGCGTCTAGCAGCGATTGGTGGTAATCTATGGTTGATTTGTCTTTTATCGACCGATCTTGAAGCAGCGCATGAATTTTATCCTACAAAGGGGATAATATTCCTTCAATATTATCCGTCTCGGATAATATTAACAGGATGTTGTCATGCTAGACAATTTACCTATTGACGCCGTTTGGTGTCTACATCATGCAACGGGCTACCACGTTACAGCGGTGGAAGACCTAGTTTGTAATCTCGTCAAGAGTGCTAAATGTGCTTGCTATAATTCATTAACTTGTCGCATTACGTTTGTGCTTCCGGATCAATCATCAGAAGCTGAATGGCGCTCAAAAGTGATCGGCTTTCAAGGTACCACTATGACCGGACATAATGGGGTGCGAAGATCTTTTCTGACACCACTGCTGATTGACCGCATAGTCGCGGGCTTTTACAGTATCATTTACATGTTCTAGCCAAGGGCGTGTTAGCCAGGACAGTCCAGGCCTTTCTCTCTTCATGTGTGACCTGCACGGTGACCTCGATACCCGCGGCTTAGCTAGCGCTACAGACGCTTACGATTTCTACTACATCGTGGTCTCCTTCGATACTTCCACTTGTCCAGATCAACAGAAGCAAGTGACGCACGTATCTGCGATAGATGCGTCGTTCTACATACACCATCATAGGGAGTTACAGCGAGTTCCATGTTTCTCCTGGTACTCTCCTTTTCAATCGAAGGCAAAGTGTGCGCCTCGTCGAGGTGTTCACCTACTACACAGCCACAGAGAGCATTCAAGGCAATTTCATGCATCCGACCTTTTTCCTGTATTGAACTTCGCCCACCTCGATGTGGAGAGCCGTCTGAAGCATGTCAGCAAATTGGAAGATCGTCTGGCAGCCTCAACGACCAAGTTGAAAGCGGATGCGCGCTAAGCACCACTGCTGAAGAAGGAAAAGCAGAAGTCACTTCCTGGTCCGGATCGTATAAAAATGAACGCCTCTGCGACCGAATGCAAGACACAAAACGAACACGATGGTAACCTAGCCCAGGATCTTACCGCTAGTTACTGGTTTGACTTCAAAGCAACAAGAAAACACACAACCTGCCAAGATATAACAAACCCTGGGACGGTCCGTGGCAATGAAATAAACGCAGCATCATCTTGCACAAGTGCAGAAGTCACTTTCGAGCAGCTCTCGTAATCCTCCTGCAGTGGTAGATTTAAAGGCACTACTATCAAATTGCTACCGCCACAGTTTCGCATGCAGAAGCAGAGGTCTTAGCCGCAAAGAGTGACTTAAAACCAACGATCGGAGACTTGCAAACATCACTTCATCTAACTTGACACATCCATTCGTCACAAGTTTAACACTGGAGGATACACTGGCGGAAAGGCGTAAAACATTCGGGAAACAGCCCGCGCTACAATCCACCGACTTTTGTCGTCGGATGTCCGCCGCAGGAGGGAAGAAGAACAAAAGAAGAAGTCATGTCTCTACAGGAAGTGACAACCGCCTCCACGCCTCCTGCACAATAATGTTCAACTGCGAAGATCGAGACTGAGCCGAAACAGGTTTTTTTAATCCAGCAGAACCTGGAAATAACTATGATGGGAAGTAACGTCACTTTTGGATACACAATGCGTCGGGATAATTTGAAGGGGAGGAGGCTACTCCTTCTCAACATGCATCTAGTGTACCTGTTTCTGCATCTCTCGATTAGGTCTTCGCTGAATAAGTAGTGATAGTGAACAGCGAAATCGCCGAAACCTTTCACAGTGATTTGGGGAACACCAGACACAACGACTTCGAGCGTGATTTCCCACTGGTCACCACTCTAGCGTTCTAGCCGACACGAGACAACATACGAGCTCCAGCCAACCATACACGAACGATTCGGTCCACGCGACTTAGAAAAATTATTGGGACTGCCTCGGACGCGGTACTTGCGGCAGCAGTCCCGGAGCACAAAAAACAGATTAAAGCGAACGCGACCAAGCTCAATTCCTGGGTAGCCGCATGTCGACTGTTGCCTTGCTACCTGCTCTGTCACCGTTAAGTCCGCCAGGCCAGAACGATTGGATTACTCACCGTTTTACGATGT